AGTGATATGAGTTTAGAACCAACAAGGGGAAATATGAACATATTCCTGTTTCTTGCAAACAAGGGAAAGTAACACATATGGTTCCCTTTAAAACCAAGCAAGGGGGAAATGCAACCATACTCATTTCAGCAAATCTAGGTCCTCCAGTAGAGAGGTTAGCATGAGGGTACCCTTTTTTTCTGTAGTCTATTGTAGTAGGGGAACCCTCCCCCCAAAAAAGGTGGGCAAAGGGGCACCTAGCTGGACCTAGAAATGGACATCTTCCGGAAAATGCGGGGGGGGGGGGGGGGCAGCGCTCCATTCCCGTGACGCGACTCTCTAAGCTCGCGGCCTTGGATTGCTCTCCGCAGTGGCAAGACTTGCAGCTTTTGACGTTGCACGTCTCGGTGCCTCAGTCATCCGCCCATGGGTGCAGCTAGTATTCTTCCGCTTTGCATCAAGGCAAAGCCTAGAAGAATAGTATTTTTTAGCCTCATCCCCAGCATCTCCCCCAGCAGCACGGCGCGGCTTGTCAAAATCCAAATCGGCTAGCCAGTGAACATCCGATTCAATCCAACCACGAAAACCGGAAGCCTGAAATGGGTGGCGAATTCACCTACCCCGACATGGTACCAGTGGTTTTGACCCACAGCCATTGGGCGATGGCTCAATTTTTTCAAGAGCTGAAACCAAACCCGCAGGTCTTGGAGTCTTTGTTTCCATACCTCTTTGGTGGCATTTTGGGGATTCCATGTTTATTTTGAGCCTCAGGCAAATTCGGCTCCATGCACTCCCGAGCTATCAACAGGCGAAGAAGCCGAGCCTCCAGGTGAGCCAAGCTGCGATGGTACTCGCACCTCACAAAGGAGGTCACAGATGCGTGCGCGTGAGGACCTTGAGCGCAAGCTCGTTTCGGGAAGTCTGCCCAGGTCATCTGCGCCACCTCAGTTCGGCGGGTTCCTTCGACCTGCTGCACTTTTGTGCTCTGCGCCAAACAAAAGCTGTCGAGAGAGAAAAAAAAAGGAAAGAACTCTCCTCTGCCAATGGGTACCGACCATGTGCCTTGCAAGTAGCCTCTGTTCTAATGTAGGGCAGCTTCGTCCTCGCTGGATGCTGAAGCTCGGTGAATCAGCAGGGTCCCTTGCAGAATTCTGTTGACTCGGAAATCAGAGGCCTCCCTTGGGTCCAGACTCCTCCGGATTGACACTTGGACAACAACAATTCCATGGGACGCATAGAAAGCCCCGAGACGGCTTCGACAGAAAGAAGTCCCAGGTAACATGCGATGCGATGGCTGTTAGCAACATGCTGAGTCACTGAACCTTCACTTTCTCCGAGACAACACCATGGTAGCGGCAATGTGGCATTCTGAAAATTCGACGCTGGGTCTTTCCGTTTGCTCACCTGGACACCTCTGGGGCCAGCGCCTAGACTCCGTGAGGCGCTAAGGAAAACTCAACTCGCCTCCTGTTGTATCCACTTCAAATGCATCTCTGGATGCACGCTACTTGTTTGCCTTGCCAAGACCTTGGCTCCTCTCATGTCCAAAAGCATGGCAATGGAAACCTGGAACCTAGGTCCTGGAAGCTAATTTTCCTCAAGGGACCCTGTTGGGGTCCTGTTAGTGGACCAGAGAGTAACCTGCGCGACCCTCATGAGGCTTCGGTGACCATTCCGCGGAGAAACCTGCGTGTGGGGGGTTCTAACCCACCTCTCTTGTTGGCTAGCCGTCGTGCGCAAGCCCCACCTCTTCCATTCTCAGGCAGGGCAGTATTACAAGCTAACACCCCCCTATCGAAACCGTTTGCTGGACACCCAGCGCCAACATTGGCCTGGGATGGTGGGACTTTCGCACGAAATGGACCGTCTACGTGGTTGTTCTCCTGCATTTTCTTCTGGGGTGAACTCCCCCCATTCCAGCTGCCAGCGGAAAAAGTCACAAAGCAGCGAACAAAAAGCGCCTAGCCGAGACGCCTGCTTGTTGCGCTTCCGCTGGTGAGCGGCTTTGCAGAGCTTGCAAGTCTTCAGCCGGAGCCCCAGGCCCGTTTTGCCACACGTCGAACACGCCGCCGTCTGCAGGATGCTGGGCGCGGAGAATGAGCGCAAGCCTCAGGCTGCATGCTGGCTGACGAGCGCTCCATGAAACTCGTCCCGAAGGATTCAACTTGCCAAGGGCGGCTCTTGTTGCCCAAAGAATCCAGAAGTCAACACTTGACACCGGTCGGCAATTTCGTGGCCAACCAGTTAGAGTCAGCTTTTGACACATTTGGGTCCAGAAGTCGACACTTCACCTTTTCCGTTGGCCACCGATGGACCAAAAAGAGGCGGCAGAACTCCATTCGCTTTGGGGTGATGCCAGATCCAAGTCCTGAGCGCCCTGGGACCTGGAAGGTGTGCGACCTCTGCCAGATCTCCATGTGGTCCGGCGAGCCTGGCGCGAGAGAAATCAGACCTCTGAAGGGATCTCTGGGGCTGGGAACCAAATCATTTTGGGGCTTGGTTGGGCATAGACCAGACAACGTCGCACCTAAGCTCCACTTACCTCCATTCCAAAAATATACTATGTATAAATCATATATATATATATAATATATATATATATATATATGTACGTGGTACATAATCTCACCCCATCAGACGGAAGGGATCCATAAGGAACCTTAGTGAGCTCGCTTTGTCCCAAGAGTTGACATGATTGGAGCTGCTTCATCTATCACCTCAACAATCCGGCAAAACGCCATCCGGCAATGCCTCGAAACAATCCGGCAAAAGGCTGGTCGTCTATGCCAGGAAACGGCAACCACGTCGTGCGGACTCGAGAAGCGAGCAGCAGCGAAGGCTGCATGAAACCCAAGTACTATGATCAGGTCCTGGGAGTCCGTGCGCTTGCCCATGAGGGGCAACAACTATACAGCCAATCCTCAAACTGGACCACTTCCATTTGGGGAGGCCTATTCTCCAATGTCTATCCAATGACAAATGAAAGCTTGTTGAAAACTGGAGGTTTGCCGCAACATGGGTAAGAACAAAGAACATGTAAGCGGCACCGTGATCAAATCTCATGCTGCGTGTCTTGCCTTACGGACACCATCGTGCTTTAGCTGGTTGAGGTGGCAAAGCACAGTGCTTCGGCATATCCGAACGAGTCACTCTAAGAGTCCGAAGCATGTCAAGCAACACGGGAACAAAGTTCACGCATGTCCATTGCCCGGAAAGAAAAATAAGTTTCGAGCAATATCTAGCAGTTCGAAACTAGCTGTGCTGGTTTGCGCGCCTGGCTCATCCAGTGAGCAGCCTTCCTGGCAAGGCGTCTCCCTGGTCCTCTCAGGTTTCCTCTCACCGTCCAAAGAATTCCCAAAGGTTTCCATTGGCCTTCCCTTTCAGAATCATTACACAAAGGGCCTTGAGATGCTTGCCCACTGCTCTGCAACTTGTTTTGTACAGGGAAGTTTGGGCCGCCAAGCCCTCCCCAAACCCAGAATCGACTAGCGGCACTCGCTTTCCCGCTGCACGCTTGGGCCAAGCAAGCCTTCGCTAGCCTTCCGCCTGTTCTTCCGCGCGTGACCGCAGGAGAGACACGCCCCACCTTACTGGGCTGTCCTCAGATCCCCTGCTAAAAGCTTAACTCTCAAAAGCTAAGGAACCGGATGGCTGGGAACCACCAAGCTTCAGGGCCCAGTTGCGTAACGAGGCCCCTGGAAGGAATAAGCTTACACGCTGGCCAAAATCACGAGCGAGGCGCCCAGCACGCGCCTCGCGTTTCACAGATACCAGCGGGAGGCCGGGCAGTTGGATCATGGGGCGCCCCACTTTATGTCCCAAACAATAGGCTTTGCCAAACACATCACCCACAAGCCCCACATAAGCCATGGCTTGAGCCGGCGGAGCGATTCGTCTACGAGTTGCCGGATGGTTTGCTTTGGCATTTTTTTCAGCATGTTCTACGCACCTCAAGCTGTTGATTACGCGGGTCGGCACATCAGGATGTCCAAACATAAATCCCACGTTAAAACTAGGCACGAGCCACTTTCGCTTGACACGTCCTTCAGGCTCCTTTTAGGGCTTCACGGGCGTCTGTGTATACCACAAGAACTCTGGCCCCATCGGTCTCCACCCCCCTGACCAAGCCGTCAACATGGGAAAGTGTGGCAACATAGTCTGACTTTCGCCAAACAAACGAGGCAACAAACCGTGGAATCTGTGGAGGCTCTCGACCCTTCGGACATCACACAAACAGGGCGGTTGATCAAAAGCTCCTTTTTATGGGGTGACCATTGGGGGAACCACCAAAAAAGATGACTTTCACCACTAAATGTGAAAAGCTTACCCATGGCCTCTTTGGGGCCAGTAATATTGATCAACCCCCACGTGGTGACTTATTTCCACCATTCAAAGTGTTCACTGAAGTTCATGGCTTCTCACGACCGCGTCACGCCATCTTTTGCATTCTCAGTGCCTCCTGGCTTTGGGGGGCGGCAGCACCTGTAAGCAGGCACTGCCTATGCCCCCAACACGAAAAAAACTGCACGGCTTCTTCTGCGTTTCGCAGAAGGCAACCGTAATATCCAAGAAGGGACCGAGATCCCGACTTGAGAAACATGGCACAAATGCTGTAAATGTACTAGGTCCTCCAGTAGAGATGTTAGAATAAGGGTACCCTTTTTTCTGTAGTCTATTTTAGTAGGGGAATCCCCCAAAAAAGTGTAAACGGGCACTACTGGGGGACCTAGTGTAGGTCCATGGGCCGAAGTTGGCCCGAATGCCCCTCAAAGTATATTCCCGCAGAGGCATGGCCAGAAATGATTCTGTCAAGAATCCAACCCCAGCCATTTCAAATGAATGGATTCCAAGACGCAAAAACCGCCAACTCCTAAGGGGCCGCAATGAATGGCACATGCACTGATCTCTGCGCGAAAAGTACATCAGCTTGTTCATACCCCTTCTTTTTTCGGCTGGCCCCCCACTCCGAATTGTGTACTTACCGCATTCTATTACCTCTTTTGGAGAAAGGGGTATGAACTGCAAACCTTGGGAGGTCATTTACCCAATACGGAAAAAGGACCATCCACGAACATCCCCAGCTCACAGTCAATCATTGAAGCTGAATACTCGCCTGGCAGCCAAATTCGACATTGCGCAAGAGCTGTTTGGTCATGCAAGAGATGTTGTTCACTACCCCCAAACCACTACACCCAAGGAACAATGGAGTAGAAACTATAACCCACTGTATGACAGGAACTCCACGCTCATGGCCGATTTCGTTGCGCGCCAAAAGCGCTTCATGTTAAAGGTTTGGACATGTTTGAATACGCGGAAACGGGCCACGCCTGATTGATTGATTGATTGATTGATTGATTGATTGATTGATTGATTGATTGATTGATTGATTGATTGATTGATTGATTGATTGATTGATTGATTGACGGAACAACCGTATACTCCGCTTGCGCTGCTTTTCAAACTCATGCTTGTCTCTTGAACAGCCATCCCCAATTTGGTCCCCAATGTATTCTTTATTCTTTTCTTTGTAACAGGAACACTTACCTCCAGTGGCAGGGTTGCTGTGTACCAAACCATGCGGAAGTCATACCGCTTATATTTAAAGCGGTGCCTAAATAAAGTGGTAGTATACCCCATCTTTCCTTTGGGGTGAGTGGTTTCTGGGTAGTGGAAGCTCTCTTGGCACTTGGAGAAAAGTGCACCTTTGTAGCAGAACAGTTGTTAAAATGGGGGTGGGTAAAATACCCTACATAAATCTACAAAGGGCTCCGTACGGTTGCATCACCAACAAGCTCTGCAACACCACTTGAGATACATGGGCACCCCTGAACTCCATTGAAGCACCCCCAAATTTCGACTTTGCCTCAAAGTCGCCGCTGTCAACACCCGAATGTCACCAAAACTGCTCAAACCAGGTCTCTTCTCCCACTACAGCAATTCCATGTGGCTTCGCCCAATCCCCGCCAGTGTAACGGTCCTAGGTCTCCTTTCGGAAAAACACGTGTCACTCGTAGTAAATGAGACCGACCGAACCAACACCGTTGCCAAAGTTTAACCAACCTGACACAAAAAGATGGCCGAAAGGAGTGGCCTGGTCATGGTCAAGCCATGATTCCACAGCTGGCTTCTAGACATATGGTATATGGGTCAACATTAAACCACTAGGGGACCGCAGGGTGGAGTCCTTTGGTTCCATCTACCAGGGTTCCAATTGGGGTACCCATTTTTGATCCACAGCTATATTGCCGATAACTCTAGCTACTAGTTTTGGCAGTATCCCAGTGAATCAAAATTCTGAACGGTGATGCGCATGTACACACGCACAAGCAAGCAAACAAGAAAGCACGCAAGAAAGCACGCAAGAAAGCAACCAAAGAACAAACACACGCACACATGCAAGCAAGCACGCGAAAAGCAAGCCAACAAGAGAGCGAGCAAGCACGTATGCACGCTCGCCAGAAAACCCGCACGGCACGCACGCCAAGAAAACAACAATAAATAAAACAAACAAACAAGCACGCACGCAGCACGCGCGTGTCCATGCAAGTAGGCAAGCAGTCAAGCAGGCAGGCAGCCAGGCAAGCAGGCAAGCAGGCAAGCAGGCAAGCAGGCAGGCAAGCAGGCAAGCAAACAGGCAAGCAGGCAAGCAGGCAAGCAGGCAAGAAGGCAAGCAGGTAAGCAGGCAAGCAGGAAAGCAGGCAAGCAGGCAAGCAGGCAAGCAGGCAAGCAGGCGAGCAGGCGAGCAGGCAAGCAGGCAGGCACGCAGGCAGGCAGGCAGGCAGGCAAGCAAGCAAGCAAGCAAGCAGGCAGGCAATCAGGCAAGCAAGCAAGCACGCACGCACGCACGCACGCAAGCAAACGCACACAAACAATCAATCAATCAATGAATCAAACAAGCAAACAAGCAAACAAGCAAACAAGCAAACAAGCAAGCAAATGCACCGACACACACACACACACGCAGTCCAACAAGCAAACACACGCAAGCAAACAAGCAAACAATGCACACACGCAATGCAAGCAAACGAAACGGACAAACAAATACACCAGCGTAGGCCCCAGATAGCAAAAACTTGCGGAGGATTGCACACCAGCACCTCTACTAGCACCCTGGACGCCCGCACTCCTCCAACAGCACCCGAAGCTGCATGCCCCCAAGCAACCCGCCATCAATCTTGCAAAAACGCCACACCCCCAAAACAGCACCCCAAACTGCACCAAACAGCGCCCCCAAACAGCACCTTCCTGCACCCTGCCGTCTCGTAAAAATGCGCTCGCACCGTCACCCGCACTCCCAAAACAGCACCTGCACCAGCACCCCAAACTGCATGCCCAAAAGCACCCGGTCCCTCACCGTCACCTGCACCACAAACAGCTCCCCAAACAGCACACCCTAACAACATCTGCACCAGCAACTGCACGCCCCCTTGCACCCAGCCGTCAATCTCGCAAATCACTTTCCCCTCTTTATTAGAAGTTAGGACCCCTATAGCCTTCAGCTATGGGGAACAAAAACAAAAAACAAACACACAATCAACCAAACACATGCTCGGCCCTTGTGCTGCAACATGTGCGCTTATTGATATTCGCAGATTTGGTACTGCCACAATGCAGGCGTACTCATATAGGAAAGGGATCCAAGAACTGCTGGCCCCGGCCTGCGGTCAAGTTTGTCAACTAACACCAGGTCGCCCTTGAAAACCCAAGTTGAAAGCAAGCAACCTGGCACCTGCAGCAACTGCCCTGGGAAGTGATTGGGTCTTCTGGCCCCGGTCGGCTCCCTTTGTGAGTTCACTGGGAGTCAGCAGGCCGGCTCTAGCTACGTGGGCCTTTGCGTTTCTGGCGCACCAAGGGCCTGCACGCCATATCAACTGCAGCGGAAGCCTCCGGCCATTGGGATGAGGCTGGCGAACGAATGGCGTCTTGGGGTGGGCCTTTGCGTTCCTGGCGAGCAAGGAACGCAAGGCTCGCACGCCATGGCGAAGGAATGGCCACAAAACAGTCAGAACCCAATCAGCGCGGAACCCTGGCCTTCAGCGCCTTCTTTACCTTCTCCGTGATCTTGTCCAGAGTGGGCTTCTTGCCGGAGCGCGTCTGGCGAAGTGCTTATGCTTATTTTGGGTATGTGTTTTTTTGACGTGGCCGTGCCGGGAGGTTGGTATAAGGGGTATGAATCGCAGGTATGGTTCGGGGTATGGCTCGGGGGTATGATTCGGGGTATGGCTCGCGCGCCTCTGAACTCTTGCTTTGTGGCTTTGGACACTGCAAAGCTCCCGTGCGCTGGCAACTGGATAGCCGTGAGAATCTGGAACGCTTAGTTGCTACAAGCCAGCCTGGGGCGCTTGTGGGTGGCCTGAACTAGACAGCTGCCACTCTGGGTTAGCGAAAGCTGCTGCGCTAGGTGGAAGGCGCAGAGCCACTGCCTGAGGCGAACGTCATGGCCACCTCCACTTGGAGTTCAAGCGACCAGCGTGCTCACAGACCCAAGCAAGCGTTGCTTAAGGGGAAGCGCCGCTGCCCAGTCAGGCTCGCCACCCGCACCAGTCACGAACCAGCGTAAGGGCAAGACAGCGTGACATCCTCAAATTGGAGCCGCGCAGAGGCTAGTGGGCCTCTCACAGGTGGTGTACCGTGTCGCGCTTGATACATCGCAGTAAGCCTTCCGAACCCACCTTCTCGCGAACTTCTGCGAAAAGAGCCGCGAGCTGGTTCCTGCAGTGCTTCTCTTTGAGTTTTGTGTCTTCTGAGGATTTGGGCGGCATAGCTTCGCTAGTACTGCCCAGAGCGCAAGAGGCTCTTGGCTGCAAATGGCAGCAGAAGGGTATGAATCGGGTATGAATCGGGGGTATGAATCGGGGGACAGATTTTTTTCGACCGGAAAGACACCAAGAGTACCCCAGGAGCACAAAGACAGCTTGTGTTTCACTGCGACAGTGGCCCAGGACAGACAGCTGTTTCCACCGCGTCGGACAGACTGCAGGAAGTTTCAAGCTCAGCAGCGGCACCCCCCGCCACAGCGCCCTGCAAGTCCCAGCGTCTTGCGTCAAGCTGCACCCCCCCGCCACAGCCACAGCGCCACGGATGCTACAAACAACTCTAGTACCAGGACATCCGCAGGATTGCTCAATAACTCCATCCATTGGCAAAAATGGCCCCCCACGAGTAACCAGTGAGTGTGTGAGTGGACATGTCAACTGTACTTGGCCCCATGACATCAGAGCCCAACCATGCAAGCACCGCAGACTCAAGGATAGATCCAGGAACCACAAGTGAACCAGGTATTACCTCGGCGTCCCTACCCCCTGGCATCGGTCCACATGCCAAGCTCTCTAACACTGTTTCTTGACAAGACCCCCTTCTTCACTTGAAGTTAAACCCCCTATACCTTCCAGCTATCCATGGATCACATGCAACTGCCACAGTTCTTGCAAGTTCTTTTTTTGTGTTTTTTAAGGGGTATGACTCGGGGTATGGCTCGGGGGTATGGCTCGGGGTATGATTCGGGGGTATGGCTCGCCCAAGCCCCACCTCCCACAAAGACTAAAGAACTGACACGGTAAAAAAACACAGACCCTTATAGAGTCAAAGCTCTGTGAGCCAGCGGGAGCGCAAGTGATCGGCTGTCGGATTGCGTGGGAGAAAAATAATCCCGAGAAACGCTCCAGGTTGAAACACGGCCAACGCTTTAGGCAATCCAGTACTCCATAAAAACACTTTGAGGCGCCGAGGCCAATTCGATGAACATGCAGCGCTTCGATTCATCTGGGGTTCCATGGCCCCCAAATGACTGGAGTCTAGGCCTCGCGACATCTGCAACTGGAATGTGGAATTGGTTCAGCCATGTGGGGCTTGATCCATCTTCCTTTCGGCCCCCAGTTTTGTCCATGGCTCACTTTTTCCAAACAGTGGTTGAAACATCACCTGAAATCGGCGGGTTTTCCAGCCAATGGTCATCGCACGGCTTTTGTGAACAGAACCCCAAACAAACGAGAAAGCAACTCATGGCTTTTTCTTGTAGCCCAAAAGTGAACAGAACCCCAAAACAACGAGAAAAAAGAAAACCACCTAAAGACTTGCCTTAACCGTGAAGCCTCTCGGGAAAACGGCGCGGGCGCCTCTCGGGTTGGAGACCTGGTGGTGTTGCGTCGAGGTGCGGGGCAGCAGTGGCAGGCGTGGCAGCCCTTTCGGTTGCACTTGCCGGAGCCTTGGATGATCTGCTCGGCGCCTTGTTTTGTTTGCCAGGTCCTCCAGTTTTGGTGGGTCAGAATACGGGTACCGTTTCTTGCTTCTCTAGTCTATTTTAGCAGGGGAAGCCTCCCCCAATTTTTGTTCTTCTTTATTGTTTCTTTCTTTTTCTGTAGTCTTTTTTAGCAGGGGAAGCCTCCCCCAAAAAAGAAACGGGGCACTACAGGGGGACCTAGTTTGAGTTTCAGGCCACTTGCTTGAGTCCACTGGAGCTAAACCACGTGTTCTTAAGCAAGTCAGTTGGTACCCCTTATTTGGTGGATTTTGCTTCCATTTGCTCGAGTCCACTGGAATCAAACAACATATTCTTAAGCAATTGGTAGGTTGGTAGTAGGGTTCAAAGGGACACCAAACGGAACACAAAAGCTAAGCGCCAATTTGGTGGTCCGATTCCTAAAAAACAACACACCCACACATTGTATTCTGGAACATTGCAACGTACGTAAAGCCAATGTGCGGAAACGTGCCTTCTTCAAAGCCGGGCCCCATCAGAAAATGGCTCCTTTTTCTTCTTCTTTTTTTCGCCAAGCTTCGATGGTACTCGCACTTCACAAATGAAGCTACCGATGCGTGGGCGTGAGCGCAAGCTCGTTTCGGGAAGTCCGCCAGAGTCACCTAAGCATGGCATCGCCAAGTTCCTTCGACGCCTTTGTGCCTGGACCCTTCCGCCGGTTCCCCATGCTGACCTGCCTCCCTCCAGTGCTGGCCCTTCCGGAGCAAGGCTTCGGGGCTCCTGCTTCCCTCGAGTGACCTGCTCCATGAGCCCTTCAATGCCGGGCTCCCGGCGGTTGTAGGGGACTCCTTGTTCCACTTGTAGCTCCCCTTGCAGCACTCGGCACCTGTCTTCAGCCGGAAGCCCATGGCTGTCTTGCCGCAGCGCGGGCACGTGCATTTCTGCAGGATCTCCGGGGCGGAATAGGCGCGTGCCAAGCCTCGTGTTGCAAAGCTGAACTCAAGTTGCTCCCTTTCAAAGATCGCCCACACCCCACGTGTGTCCAGTAAGGAGGAAGAATCTCCGGCGAGTGTTTTGCAGCATGATCAAAGCTTCGGAATATTCACAAGACCATAGAACAGCAATTCTTGCCGAGCCCCGGGCCGCCCTCCGAAACGTGACCACAGTGCCAACTTGAATACGGGACACCTTGGGTGTCGACCCAAAGACCCCAGAAATGCTCCAAACCACATACAGTACCCCTCTGCCCTTTCTTCCCCCCGTTTACCGGGGTGGGGGGCCACACAAATCCCCGCGTAATGTGAGGCAAGGAACCAGCGGGCTCAAGTGCGTCAGTACCTGCGCTGGGCTCTGCAAACGGAAAGGATTTCCCCGTCGACCCCGACCCTCCCGCAAAAGCGAAGGCTTCCCTCTTCAATCGGACACCACGAGTCATCAAGGATTTAAAAACATTGGGCCCATCGTTCTCCTTGCTTTACCGCAAGGGTCCCAAAAAAACCACTTGGGGCCTTAAACCATGTCCTTTTGACACCCCTCAAGCAACTTGGGGACGGGGGCCCCTGGGTTTATACCAAGCCCCAGGACCCTGTACTGGCAAATTGCCGCTTGCGCGCAGCTTTTAGGCATCGATGCCGCCTTTGTGGTTCCATGCGATCGCCGGCTTACACGTCTCTGCGCAGAAAAGCGCCAGAACGGACGTATGGGTGTCTTCTTTTGAGTTCTTCTTTTCGCTTTTGCTTTTGTCTTTGGGGGGGGGGCGTCCCCTAAGAATAGACCCACCCACATCAACATCATTTAGAAGTCTGAGCTGTTCTTGATCAAAGCCCTTGCACCCGCCCTTGTGGGAAAGTGATGTTGCATGCGCCTGCGGAAACAACAGCACTGGCCTGGGAACCCCCCCCCTCAAACTTTTGCGCGCCAGCAAGACATAAAGACATGAAACCACCCCTTTGCATCATGTTGACTAACCTGAGACCCCCCCCCCCCAACCACTTGCGCGCCAGCGAGACATGAAGACATGAAACCACCCCTTTGCGCGCAGCGGGCACCCGTGTCATCGTCAATGGCAGGTTCCAGGTCCTTGACCTGCCCAATGCACTCTGAGCGAAGTCTGGCCGACGCAGCCATTGTCTCAACGTCTACGGTTGAGCGGCAAGAAACTGTGAGCAACCCAAGCACACATCGTAGAACAAGAAGGAGTCCGTGTCCAAATGGCTTAGGGCTTAGGAAATCCCTCTCATCCTCACACAAAGTTCCATTTCAGATAGGGAAAAAAAAGGGGAAACAACCCACTTAGATGGCGTAACAAACCCGCTGTTTTGCGTGATCCCCATGGCGAACAGCTTGAGAAGACCCCAAGACGAGAGCCCGCGAGAACGGGGCCATCGCCCCGATCGCTTTAGGCCTGCACTCTTGAGAGCTCCAGCGCCATGGGTAGCATCGCTCACAAAACAAAACCTACGCTGATGTCCATCCGGGAAGTTCATCCGGGAGCCGTGCAAAAGGTGGCCGTGTGATTTTTTTCTTCCTCAGGGTACCCTTTGGGTGGACATTTAAAGGGGGAAACTAAACACATTCTTACGATATTCTTACCGTGGATGGCTACGAAATCCATTTCGCACCACCAAAGAAACCCTGGAGCGATGATATCCACGTAAATACCAACAAACAATGATCTCCCATGGTTTCCAAGTGGTGCCTAAGCGGATTCCGTCCATCCACAGTACTTCTTATTTTGAGACAACGCCATGTGTCTTTTCGCAAGCGGCGACCCTTTTGCCTCATGACTTGAGCCATGCTCCACTGCGATATGCATGGCTTCAGAGGTTACGGGTGCCGAATAGGTCTGGAAAATCAAACTCGAATACCCTTCCTCCAAGTAACATGGCACCGGGAGGTACCTGCAACATTAAATTCCTTTTGAAGTGACCCCCTGTCAGTTGCCGTGTTAGTGGAGGGAGGGTACTCACTTTGGGGAAATGATACACTGTTCTGGGTCACTCTTCCCCTTTCGGCAAAAGGCCTGACCCTTTTGTAGGTTCAATATGGAAAAGCCAGATTTGTGTCCAAAAGGTCTAAGGGGCGATTCGGTCACAGCGCAAACACCAGCCATGTATTAAGAGCGCGCAGAGGCACTTTGGATACCACTAAAAGCCGTCGCTTGGCGATGGCAGTCGTACAAGCCACGGTCAAGACCTGCTGTTGCACTTCAGATTTCCGTGGGACAATTACCGAATCCCATGTCTCTTTGCCGGGAACTTTGAGAGGGCGAGAGAAAGAGAGGCCTCCCCCATTCCCCCATGTTGTTTTTGAACTTATCTTGTCTTTCTCTCAAATTAGAGAGAGACTCCCCCATTTCCTTTTTGAAGCTACTTGGCTGTGGGTCAAGAATAGGTGCCCAACATGGAACCCTGGTATATGGAGCCAAGGACTGAAACCTGCGGTCCTCTGGTGGTTCAAGTTTGACCCATACCGACTTAAATCAAATAATACAGAGTCCCCCTTTGTGACGAACCCAAACGGACAGCCATCGGACAAAGGGACTCCGTCGTTCCGTGCAGAGCTCGGGAGCTGCTGCAAAAAAACGAACCACGTCGAGTGGAAGTGCCAAAGACAGGGGGTCGACTCGCTAGAAACCTGGGGGGAGGGTGAGGCGGAGGGAGCCCAAAGAAAGACTTACGGCTGAAGAAGGCCCAGAAGAGGGGCATTGCCCTCCCTCCCCCTCCCCTCCCCCCAACCCCCATCACAAGCCAAACAAATACACAACCTCATCTGTTCGCTTTGGGTAAATCCAAGAAAAACACAGGCAATTCAGCACCGAGGACATTAGCACGGGCACACTCTGCCTCCGCCTTGGGCGTTGGCGAGTGTTGTGCCGAGCACTGGCCTCTTGCCACGATTCTGAATGGAAGACCCTCCAAAATGATTGCAGTGGGTTATATAGGATCTTTCACTTCTTGAGTGGGTTGGCCCAAAAAGTCCAAACATGGTATTTACCACTACGGCGCAAGCGCCGTAGAAGAAGTCACTCTATAAGAAATTGAGGGGCTGAAATTGCCAGACAAGTTAGTTGCAACTGCAGTAGTCAACTTAAATTCCTCATGCAAATCATGTCTTCCAAAAGGTGCGTTAGGGCTTCGTCTGTGCTTTGCTTTTGGGCTCCATTTAAACCAACCCCGAAGAGCGCCCAACAAAAGCAAAACCACTCATTGCTTGAACGCCACAACAGAACGGCGGCCAGCGGATCGATTGGCATCTGCTTAGTCGCTCACATGCCCAGCTGCTTCTTGATCAATTGCAGCTCAAGGTTGGATTGGTGAAAGAACCTCGGCTGCTTTCAAACTGAGCCATGACAAACTGAGTTCTTACTCTGCAAATTAGGGTATGCGTCGGGACCAAGATCGGTGCGGGGGGGGGGGGGGGTGTTACTTGAATTGTACATGATTGACCCTTACAGCAAAGTACGAATCCCTTGTGTCATGTTTTGTACTGCAAATTTGTATACAACCCAACAAGGGGGCTCTCTGAAAGGAGTTTCTTCTACACATGGGTGTCTGGGTTTCATGTCAATCTGAGTATAGGTCCCCTTTACCCCGCCCGAAGTAAACTCAGTGTTCAATTCAATGGCCAAGGTGAAACTGCGAGCAACACCCGAGTTCCCGACCTCAACAGGCATGGGAACAGCAGAAGCATCACCGACACAAACGCGAACGCACACACACACACACACTCACACACAAACATACAATCACATTTAGGTAATATGCCAAAATCATTTGTCTCATTTGCGGTATATATACATATATAATCATATATATATATAGTTCTCTTTAACCAAAGAACGTACCCTCAGCAAAAAGACACACACACACACGCGCACATGCAGACTCTATGTTATATGTGTATATATATATATAGATATATTTAACCAAAGAACATACCCTCAGAAGAAGAAACACACACACACAAACAAACAACAGGGATTTGCAGCAGTCTTCGGGTTCTTCGATGCACCTCTTCATCTCCCGCGCCACTAGCAGCAGGTCGGCCGCTCGCGCTGCGCTGTTCAGCCTGGCTTCAGGGCACGGCGAGGAGGATACCTTGTTTTGGAGGCCTCACTGCTAGGTCCTCCAGACTTAGATTTCAGAGCTTAGAATAAGTTGGTACCCGATTTCCTTTTGTTTTTGTAGTCTATTTTAGTAGGGGAACCCTCGCCCAAAAAAGGGTAAACTGGACTTTGCCTCACTTCATGAGTGGATTGGCCAAAAAGTCGGAACTGTTTATCTACCACTAAAATGGTGTTCCCAAAAGTTTTAAAGAGGAAGTGAGTTTCTGAGGCATCACTGGGGGGAAAGCCACATCATTTTGATGGTCACATTTTGAAACCGATTGATGCTCAGGGAATGCGTTGGAATGACCCCGACAAAAACATCCATGGTTTTCTTCAAATCCCCAGGTTCATTCCCAAAACTTTGGGTCATTCCCTACCGCAGCAAGCCCGCATGAAGACCAGAACCAGGGACCTGACCTGAGTCCGAGAGATTTGCCAAGCTCCTGTCGTTTCTCGCAAGGTTCGGCCATGGTCATTGTTCCACTGAGCCACGTGCCCGTGCTCCATGAAGTCTACTCAGGAGCCATGTCCCCGTCTCATGCTATTTGTCTGGAAGCGTTCTGAGGCTCGATACCTCTTTGTTTGGTGGTTTCACAGGGAAAACAAAGGGAGAACCGTGGCGCTATTTGACCTTGGGGGGTCCGAATCTGAACATGGAAGACGAGCCACCCTGGGCAAATGTTGATCTTGCGGGCCAGAAGACCTCTTACAACAGGACCGAACAGCACGACCAAAAGAAAAAAGCCAACCGACTCCAATGACGACCAACAACATTTGGCCACGTCAGTAAACCCAGGGTGGATTGCCAACAGGTCACATGGTCTTGACTCGGATCGGTGAGGAAAGAGGGCGTTCATCAACAATGTCCCCTGTCTTTGACTGGAAGTCGACTTTACGGTGATCGTGGACACATCTATGGGTGTGTTAAAACCACTGGCCCCCCTTGGGAGCATGTTGAACACGAACAAAGTGTCCAAGGTCCAAAAAAGGTTAGCTTTCAGTGGTTTCCCTCCAGAAAACCACCAAAGGTACGGACTCAAAACAGGAACCAACTTTCAAATGTACACATGGGTCTGTCTTTTTGAGGGTACCCCGTTTTTGTGGTTTGAAAGGGACACCGAAAGGACAATGACCCAACATGGTCCCCTAAAAAAGCCGTGGTTTTTAGGTGTGTACACATCCAAGAAACAAACTGAATCATCGATTCCAGGACTCATGGCATCAAGTCGGAGCCTCACATATTCTCTCCTCGTAGCATATGGGTGTGCCCCTTTTTTTGAGAGTAGCCCTTGTTTAGGCCTCTTTTGAAGGAGCACCAAGGGTTCCCTTGTTGGGGGGTCTATTTTAAGACGCCCCCATATCTTGACATATGATTGGAACTTACAATTGACATTGCTGCGGTCAAGCTAGGGAGATCCACTAAACATCAGCACAACTCGCCGGGGTTGCCACAAGTACTTCATGGAATCACTCCCCGGAAACTTTGTCTGGAACAGGCGTTCAAGGGGTCCAAGGGAGACATTCGTGTTAGTCTCAAGTCAGACCGTTTGCATCTCGGCCCCCTCAAACAAACCCCCTTCCAACCCCCTCCCCCCCAAAAAAAACCACCCCCACAACTGTCCCACCTAATTCCACCCAATTCCACCCCTCCCCGGCAGAGCCCCCCTCCGCAAACGCCTGATGGTGCCCTGCAGAAACTCCTCGAAGTGAATGGTGCCGCTGCCGTCCATGTCGAGCACCTACATGTGAGTCATAATCAAAGCCCGGTAGAAAAATGGCCGTAATCCCAGAACCATGCTTCAAGAATTAAGGTTGGGCGGCCATCCGCAGCTATTTATGGTTGGGACCGTCCCTTACAAACCTTCATCCAGCCGGGTTTGATTGTGTCTCATGTGGCTTTGTCATTTTTCAAGTCTCGAGGTACCCTTTTGGCTTTGGTTGCAACCAACAGGAAACCTGACCAACACCTCCACTTGGGGAAATCTCTTTTCTTCAGGGCGCGCCCCTGCTTTGGATGGTTTTTCAAGGTAAACCAAAAGGACATCACTCATTTTGGGGGTCCATTTGAAGACACGAGTCGGCTGGATGAAATCGTGGACTATCAGTGTGTGAAAATCGATGGCACGTGACAAGTGAATATCAGCAAAACGTGGACTGCCACAAGTGTGTGCGTGAGTGTGAGTGAGTGAGTATCATATCAGTGAATACCGGGAACTATCAGTGACTGTCAGTGAAGTGAAAGGGTTCTTTTGGTGTCCTTCAAGGCTTCCCCCCACATGGCCCGGCAGGATCAATGATTTCACTTGCAACAGGTGGAGAGCTCTACGGACCCTCGATTGCCACCAGCCGGGATCTGAATCTATGGAGTCAGTGAGACCAAGTGGAAGCAAACATACAGGCGCATTCGATCGTTTGGCAGGCGTAAACCGGAACATCCACAAAGGAATTTCGAAAAGACACCATATCTTTGTGATTCTACCTTGGGTTGCTACTCGTGGGACTCTCACGCATGTGTATGAGCTATTGACTGTGGCGATCTGGGCCTCTTCCAGAGATTCACAACAGGAGGCTATACAACCCCGAAAGATGCCATGGGCTCAAAGAAGAAACCAAAGCTACGAATCCCCGTCTCGGGGCCACTTGTAACTGTAAACTGCCACGCAGTATTTCACACCCTAAGTGCAGGTGTCACAAGCTGCATGGGAAACCAAACCGACAGCTACTTTGAAGGATTGAGCCAACCTCCGCTTGCATGTCGCCACAAACTAAAAAAACCCTGCGTTACTTCCCTCCGACCAATTACTGAAAAGAGGGGTGGAACCCTACTTTCCTTAAGGGAGAAGACCTCCATTTGCTTAAGTCCCCTGAAAAGAATGAGAACATATTTCCAGCTAGTGAAATCGATTCCCTTTAAAGCAAACAAGCGAAAGTCAAAGCATATTCTTGTCAGCAAATGGAAGAAGAAGACCCCCGCTCCACTCATTGGATTGGATTGGTTTGGATGGCTTCCCATGAAACCTCTGCAAGACGCAGGGTTTCAAACCCCAAATCACCATTCCAAACCACCCAGATTCGTAGAAAACTGGGGTTGTTTTCTCTTGTCTTGTTTTATTACTATTATTATTGTTATCATTATTTTTACCCCACTTCCTGAGTGGATTGGCCAACAAAAAGCAACCGATTCTCAGAAAGATGGGGTTGCTTTTTTCGTTTACCTCACTTCCTGAGCGGATTGGCCAACAAAAAGCAACCGATTCTCAGAAAGATGGGGTTGCTGTTCTTTGTTTACCCCACTTCCTGAGTGGATTGGCCAACAACAAGTCACCAAACGGTTGTTTTCCAAAATGGCTGGTCCGAACACAAGTGGCTACAGTCCGAAACCCAACTCGAGTGAGTTCCGAATGCAAACCACAACTCATCTTGTCCCGCGCTCGCTGCGCGAGGCCTCCAGCAGGTACTGGGCCTGAGAAAAGGCCAGCCTTTTACATCGACGTGCTGCTCAGAATGACCCGAGAAATGGAATGACCCGAGAAAAACCCGCCAACCAGTGGCTTCCTTTAAGGAAATCCACTGGGTTTATGTTCCTTCCTCAGCAAGTTGATGAGATGCATGGTCATTCTCAATCAAACACCTCTGTTTTTTTTTGGACAAATTGGTAAAGGCATCCGTGGGATTCTGTGAAACACCTGCCGGCGAATATCCATTTGAAGGCAAAGGAAGAATCGATAGAAGCCTCACTCGCCCGAAGTCGCCTCGGAGGCGTCCACATCCACCGACTCGAAGAAGTCCAAGACCACAGAGGTCGCCGTCTGGTTTTGGATCTCCTCCCAAAGTTGCTGGTCAATCCGATTTTGGACTGTTTGGCAAAGGGAAACAACCTGAGGAAGCCAAAGGAAACATCTAGAAATGGTTTTTTGGCCGGGAAATGGCGGCTCTTTGATCTCTGGATGCTATCTCTGAGTGATTCGCTGCTTGTGTACGTGAGTGTGTGCAATTGGACAAGGTTTGCTAGTGTCAGATGCGAAAAGTCAAACCAAAGGAAAACCGTTGACCAATTAGAATCAACTAGATATGCTACGCTGATCCAACCGACTACGACTACGACCGAGGCGACGACCACTCGCCCTTTGGCCCTCCTCCAGAGAAATGTAGCCTGAATGATCCTGGTCGATCGCCTGGAATACCCTCCTGGCCTTCAGGATCCTGGAAGAGCGGATTTTCGGTTGCCCAAGCTGAAAAACCGAAGCTATGCGGGAATGGGTCAAAATTAAACCACCAGGGACCCCAGGCTTTAGTCCATGTTTCCATTTACCAGGGTTCCATTTGGGGGTTCCCCTATTTTTGACCCACAGGCATGTCTACAAATACCATTTATATAAGCAACACACATGAAACAAGGCAGCTTTAACGCGTAAAGATTCCGGGACATGCCCACGGTCTTCCGTACAAAGCTCATGCCTCAGGCACACCGAAGAACACCTCAAGGGTCCTTCATGAAAGTACTACAGCTTGAAGTCATCCCAAGAAAGGATAGCTGCCATGAAACCATACAAAACACAACACAGTCTGGACACGCATGTTTGCTGAAAGCTCGTGGTGCGACTTGGGAACTGCATCTTGGGGATGCATCCACCAATGGGCAACCGTGGCAGGGAACCCTGCAGTTTGGGAGTTCCCCAACTCGCGTCTGCCTCTTCTGCCAAACCGAAATTTGGCTTTTTGCTGGATCATGGCCCATAGGTGGTGTCCCTGGGTTTAGTAGGGAATCAGGCCACTTTTGGAAGGGACCACTCCCCCCAAAAAACCAAACTGGTGTCGATGAATGTGGGGTCAACATTATTCCGCCTAACATCAAAATGCAAGTGCTCTCGGAGAAGTCTCTTCCGCTGGTGCCCTTTCTGTCGTTAATTAATCGAGGAGCTGGGTCCGCGCTTTGAGGTCTGCCGCCTGCCGGCTCACTTTCTCCACGTAGGTCCCGGCAATGACGTTCAGTAGGGCAAAGAAGCCTTGCACTCGTCAAACGAGTCAAACCCCCAATCCCAGACCCGTGGTTGGTTGTTTGGAGAGATGTACTTTTTGGGATTGCGGGTTTGGATTGGTGATTTGGAGTGGTGGTTTGGACTGGGTGCAAGCAGTTTCAGGGGGGACCGTGGCAATCCATAACAGAAAAGCTGAGACCTCGGTATCCCAATATGCCATTGAAGAGAAGAAGCCATAATCCCGTAAGAACAAGTCGCAGGTGCTTTAGCGATGTGGTGCACAAGTCAGCTTCTGGATGAACATCTTTGTTGGAAAACAACTATGCTTTTCCAAAAGGGCGTGTCTTTTTTTCGGGTACCCCCAAGATGGTGGTTTTCCTTTTGGTGTCCCCTTAAAACCAACCAAAAAAGGTGGTACCTCACAAATCGAGTCCAAAAGGGTGGGCACTCGCTCGCCACCATAATCTTAAGGGGAACGGCATACTGCCACCATCTGTTTGTGTTCAGTGCCATTTGTGCACAACCTCATAGAACAACAACTTCTTCCACCTTGGAAACATAGAGGACCCTATCATTAAAGGAGGTGTAGCATTAGTGGTAAACAATGAAAGTTTGAGGACTTCTCTTGGCCCATCCACTCGGGAATTGAGAAGCAATCCCAAGAAAGGCTAGGATGAGGATGGGACACACGGGGCCACTCGATTTTTTGTGGTCCACCCCTTTTGTGTCTCATGCACTGCCAAAGAATGAATTCTCTCTGTTAGGGGGGAGGGGGATGAAAGAGGGTCCAAAATTAAAATCTTCCAAACCCAAGTGGCTCAAGTCCGGCCCATGACCTCCCACCTCCCCCCAACCCCCACCCTTCTTGAACTCTTCACCATGATGATGAGACAGGTTTTCACCATGGCTCTTCTGCTGTTCGACTGGGTGGCAATAGGACACATGGCACAGAAATGATACCTTCAGACAAAGTCCTGCAAACCATGAAAAAACATGATTCCAGGGTTTGTTGGTATTTACGGGGACATCGAATCATTCCAGGGTTTGTGAAAGGTAGTGCAAAATCATTTTGCAACCATCCACAGTATCTTGGACAGACCAGATCCTGCACCAGTTGGTATTTGCTCTGTCCATCCCCCTCAAATTTAGGGGGTTTGCTGGAACACCCATTCTAATGTTGACCCCGGATTAATAAACCCCTGTTTGTTAATATGGGGGTGTTCCTCTCCAAAAGTGATAAATCCCCCACAAAACCAGGGACACCCCATCTTGAAAAACCGGGGTTCTACTTAGATCCAGGACCAACATTCTGGCACACCACTGGGCAATTTCAAGCCGGGATCGCTCTCCTACGCGGAATTTGCTCCGGGGGGCTTCGTCACTTCGACCACTTCGACCCCGGCGCGTCTCGAAATTTTCGATTCGACCGGCTCCGAGGCGCAGAAGCCGATGTAGAGGACGAAGACCAGCGCGAAGCCGGGGGAGATGGCCAGGAGAGGCTGCACCAGGTCGTTCCAATCCACTCCTCGTGGAGTTTTTTTGTGCTAAAAAAAAAATGGGGGGGGGGGGGAATCTGGCGGTGGGTCAAAATAGGAACCCGAAATGGAACCTTGGGTAATGGAAACATGGACAAAAATATGCGGCCCCCTGGTGGTTTAATATTGACCCCCACCCGTTTGAGGCACTTCATGAGGCCCGAGGCACCTGTGGTTTGTGCATGGGTGTGCAGTTTCTCATTGGCTCAATGGCCGTTGGGCCTGTCCAAAGAAGGCTGGTAGAAAAGGTCGCGCGAAGCTGCGGTTCAGCTTCATGGGAGCGGAGGACGCTCTGCGAGGCCTTTGGGCCTGAGCCCAACTCCGAAGTCTCTTGCGCTGGGCAAGCGCCATCCAAAGCAAACCGGGACCGGGCCCTTCCCCTTCATCAAATGGCTTGCGCTGGCTTTTGTGGCTCGGTCGCTGGGCTGGAAGACAAGAGGTTGCAGCGGGCATGAGCCTGTGACTTCAGGATCAGCATCTCCAGGCTGGACACCTCGTACGTGGAGGGCCGCGTCTTTTCACGGCGGATGGCGCGCTCCTGGGCTATGGGAGCCTCCAGCCAGCTGCGTTCGGAACCGCGAGGTGAAGGCAGCGGCTCCTTCTCCACTTTGGCAAAAAGAGAAACTCGTCGATGGCGTCGTGCAACTCCGTCTCAGGAAGATAGTCCCAACCTTCTGGACTCCTGGTTTGCCCAGTGAAAGAGCTGGCTTACACGCCAGCGGCAGAAGACAAAGTTTCACAGCCTGGTTCCAAGGCTAGTGAAACAGAAGGCCGTGGACAAGATGCAGAAGCTCTCTCTATCTCTCTCTCTCTCTCTCTCTCTCTCTCTCTCTCTCTCTCTCTCTCTCTCTCTCTCTCTCTCTCTCTCTCTCTCTCTCTCTCTCTCTCTCTCTCTCTCTCTCTCTCTCTCTCTCTCTCTCGCTCCCTCTCTATATTATGTATCAAATGGCACGTGAATGCAATGACATGAGAAGTGAACATATACCAATGCCACGCCTAACGTTTTTGCATGTTGGTCCGCTTTCGCATAGAATCCAACAAGGGCTTACCCTTTTTGACAACCGCGTATGGGGTTGCAGAAATAAATGCAAATGATACTAGGGAGAGAGAGAGAGAGAGAGAGAGAGAGAGAGAGAGACGCCAGGAGAATCGCTTTGCTTCTTCACATCCTACCTCTCTCGACCATGCCATTTTTCACGTCAGGACAGTTGTGAGAAGGAATCGGACACACCATCAATGCAAGACGTGTAGTCCAACCATGCCTATGTCTCCCCCTCCACCCTGCCCCGCAATTTACTAACTCCCACCACGTGTTAGAACAAAACAGTTCTAATGCAGGTCTATCATCCACTGTTAACAAATGAGGGCGATGTTTGCTCAATTTTAGAGGGCACGTCTTTGTCAACATGAGGGAGATCGTCCTTCCTGTGTAATCTGAATCTGCCAGAGCCTTGATTGTCAATCACTCTTGCACAGAGGAGATACCCTGCAGCTTCACTGTGCTTCGCGTTAGCTACGGATGCGACCGCATCGAGCTCCCGTCCGGGCACTGTGTCACGGGGAACTGGGATGGGCTGCGTGATGCCGCGACGCTTGCTTCCGATCTCCTCGGAATTCAGGGGGCCAGCCATGACTTGAACAGGGGCAGAACCATCGTCAGGTTGCCACGGTAGGTCAACGTGGAGATGGTCTCTGCTACAAGAACGTGAGCCGATGCCTCAGCTGGATTCAGAACCGCTACCGCGATGCGCCGAATCCTTCCACTCAGAGTCCCGACTTGGCGATGTACCTCGTTGCCATTGGTTGGACTGAGCTGACCAGCGGTGGTACAATCGCAGCTTGAAGGCCTAAGCAGTTGGACTTCATAGAGAGGGCGTGTGAAATCCGCCGACATTGCTCGGCGTGTCGGATACTTACTAGAGGATAGAGGATAACCCCCCCCCCTAACCCCCCCCCCGCCCGACGTCTATTACGTAGGTTTTTTGGGGGGGGGGCGGGGGTCCCCCACGTACCGCGCGGCAACTTGATGACGTTCCACTAAACGTAGTCTTCGGGGAGCTGGTGTCGCAAAACAGGGGTCCCAGGCTCGATTCCCCCTGCCGGCTTTTTGCTGGCTTGGGCTTCCTGCATCCTTTTGCCGAAAATCTGGAAAAACTCAATGTTTTTGGACGTCCTCTTTGCGAAAACGCTGGAAAAAACCGTGTTTTTTTGCGGGAAATACATACATACATGCATGAATGCATGCATGCATACATACATACATACATACATACATACATACATACATACATACATGCACATACATACATACAGCATACAGACATACATTACATTACATACATACATACATACATACATACATACATACATACATACATACATACATACATACATACATTACATACATACATACATACATACATACATACATACATACATTACATACATACATACATACATACATACATACATACATACATACATACATACACATACATACATACATACATACATACATACATACATACATACATACATACATACATACATACATACATACATACATACATACATACATACATACATACATACATACATACATACATACATACATACATACATACATACATACATACATTACATTACATTACATTACACATTACATTACATTACATTACATTACATTACATTACATTACATTACATTACATTACATTACATTACATTACATTACATTACATTACATTACATTACATTACATTACATTACATTACATTACATTACATTACATTACATTACATTACATTACATTACATTACATTACATTACATTACATTACATTACATTACATTACATTACATTACATTACATTACATTACATACATACATACATACATACATACATACATACATACATACATACATACATACATACATACATACATACATACATACATACATACATACATACATACATACATACATACATACATACATACATACATACATACATACATACATACATACATACATACATACATACATACATACATACATACATACATACATACATACATACATACATACATACATACATACATACATACATACATACATACATACATACATACATACATACATACATACATTACATACATACATACATACATACATACATACATACATACATACATACATACATACATACATACATACATACATACATACATACATACATACATACGTTACATACATACATACATACATACATACATACATACATACATACATACATACATACATACATACATACATACATACATACATACATACATACATACATACATACATACATACATACATACATACATACATACATACATACATACATACATACATACATACATACATACATACATACATACATTACATACATACATACATACATACATACATACATACATACATACATACATACATACATACATACATACATACATACATACATACATACATACATACATACATACATACATACATACATACATACATACATACATACATACATACATACATACATACATACATACATACATACATACATACATACATACATACATACATACATACATACATACATACATACATACATACATACATACATACATACATACATACATACATTACATTACATTACATTACATTACATTACATTACATTACATTACATTACATTACATTACATTACATTACATTACATTACATTACATTACATTACATTACATTACATTACATTACATTACATACATACATACGTACATCCATCCATACATACATACATACATACATACATACATACATACATTACATACATACATACATTACATTACATTCATACATACATACATACATAAATACATTACGTACATACATACTTACTTAGGTACTTACTTACTTACTTACTTACTTGCTTACATTACATACATACATACATACACACATACATACGGCTTGGGGGGATGGGGAGGATGGGAGCAGAGGGAGGGAGAGCACACAAGGGAGACAAGGAAGAGAGGAAGAAGGAGAAAAGGGAGAGGACAATGTCGGCGCACTGAGCCGGAGGCTCTAAAGTTTGAGGCACCTCACGAGGCCCAAGGTACATTGGGATTGTACATGCGTGTCCTCGCCGTGTCTCATTGGCTCAAGGGCCCTTGAGCCTGTCCGAAGAGCACACAGGCTGGTGGCAGAAAAGGTAGCGCGAAGCTGCAGTTCGGCTTTCTCAGTTTGGGGTGTGCAAGAGGAAGTGGACGGGACGGCCTGTTCAAACACAAAAGTGGGCAAGCATCAAATATGGGAACAAGTAGAGCTGCTGCAGCCTTTGGTGTGTTTTGGGCAGCTGAAGCAGGCGACACAGGTTGTTGCACACTCTGGCGAAACAATCCGACAGATTCCAGGTGATCACTCCTCCGGAAGCTTGAACCCAGGCCGTTTTACCAAACTTGCATTCGCAAAAACCGAACTGCCCATGAGACAACCCTGGCTTCATCTGCTGTATGCACAAGCCTCGGCGCTGTTCTTACCCATTCACAAGCAATGAATGATGGACGACCTCTACGAAAGATGGGCTAACTGCAGCTTACTGCTAATGAGGAAGGGGGAAAGTTCAGTGTAGATCCTTCACGGCTTCCTGAATGCACAAATTGCTCTCATGCGGCTCCACCGTGGATCAATGCTACATGAGGCTGGAAATCGGTTGCGGTCTTTGTGTGCCGCTCAACGTGACATATGCGATATGGTTGCTTTTAAAGGTGCCCTTATGGTTCTCTGAATCGTGAACCCAGTGAACACGTGGAAACCCCATCAATTCTTGGGGCCCAAGTTCCGTTTGGAGGCGTCGAACCGCGAGCAAGCAAGCCCAACATCGTCCCAACTATCAACCGTCGCTTGAAGTGAAGCAACATCGGCAACCCAAACGGTGATGTTCAGCAGGGATCCTTACATTATACACCTGAACATTGCCTGGAAAAAGCCATGTTTCAAATGGGCAAAATGTATCTTTTAAGGAGTCCTGTTCAACCAAAGGGAGATTGAGTAAACCCCTCTGATGCCCCTCTCCGGTCCTCCACTGAGGGCTTGCAGGACTGATAGCATGCCTCAGCTCGTCGAAAAAACTCCCCCGAGTGGGACTCGCACTTCTTCCTGCGCGTCAAGGGGAAGCCTTCCAGGTGGAACAAAATCCACTGCGGATTCCTTTTGAGGAAATGAAGAGCTGTTCACTAGTTGGTTGCCAAACTTTCAAGCTGAATTGTTCAGAAGCAGGGCTGTGGGAAATGACCACTTCTGTGATACAAGACTAACTCCCCCATATAAAGGGGGAGATTCTCTATCACAGAAGTGGGGATAAACCCCTTGATCCCACAACCCTCTTAAAAGGGGATCCCTAGTCCTACGAAATTCGTAATCCTCAGTGAGATACCTGCTAGGCTTGGGCATAGTTGGTAGTTGATCCTGTCCCTCGTGAAACTGTCTCGTGGCTGCTGCTTGAACAAAAAAAAAAGGCCAACATCACAAGACCCCAAAAGTGTTGTATTCCTCTCAAAGGCCTCTGGCAAATCTCATCCAGGGTCAGTTCATGGCTCCTACCGTCAAGCCTCAATCATTCGGGCAACATTCGGACAGCGCTACTTGGCTGCGTCAAACTCAATTCCTGAGTGGATTGGCCAGGAAAAGTCTTAGGTGGTCTTGTCAAGAAGCTCAAAGTCCAGAAACTCAGGGAGTGTGTGTGTGTGTGTGTGTGTCTGTGTGTCTGTGTGTCTGTGTGTCTGTGTGTCTGTGTGTCTGTGTGTCTGTGTCTCTGTGTCTCTGTGTCTCTGTGTCTCTGTGTCTCTGTGTCTCTGTGTCTCTGTGTCTCTGTGTCTGTCGAAAAATATGTGTCTGTGTCTGTCTCTCTGTCTCTGCCTGTCTCTGCCCTGTCTCTGCCTGTCTCTGTGGCTGTCTGTCTGTCCAGTGTAAAGGGACCCCACCTCCAAAAGCATTTTGAGCTCTCAAAATGCAACTGTTAGGGACCCAGTCTTTCTCAAGCGACTGGGCTGATGTTTTCTTTACCTCCCTTTTTCACAGTCCAATGAAAATATTGACATCGTCCAGTGATAGATGTAAGACCAACAGGGGGGCAAAATACCGGCTCCCTACACCCAACATCCACTTTTTCAAGGGTACGATGTCAAATGACAGCCCGGTCCAACAAAGAGGTGTTTACGGTGGAAAACCCGGCTCTTCAAACCCTGACACAAGCAGGTAGTTGACTTGTCTTTCTTGAGCTTTTACCCCCTTCTTCTGTGGGTCTTAAAGGAAAACACGTAAACCACCAGAAACTCCGAAAGGCGCCATGTTGGGCGTGACCTTAAAAACTTGGTTGACGTTGGGAGGGGAGCAACATGTTTTCAAACTTTAGCAGTTCAGTGGGGTTTCAACCACTAAACAACAATAAGCAAACATGGAAACATGTTTCCCAACAACAACCATGAAACAGAGCTTCCTACTCTGCAGATTAGCATGCAATACGGGGGCTCCCTACAAGGCGTTTCTTCTACACATGGCTGTTTTCTGGGTTCTATGTCAATCTGAGTATATGTCCCCTTTAATGTTGACTCAGGATTAATAAACCCGACCCATTATTGGGGGGTGTTCCCTCCAAAAGTGATAAACCCCCACTAAAAGGGAACACCCCCCAATCAAAATCAACCAGGGGTTCTACTTAGATCCGGAGTTAACATTAAATCTCACCCCGCCTTAAAAGGACAGACTCCCATTTTGGGAGGACGAGAAGCTGACGAAGATCGAGCCCCACCACTTCTCAAGGCCATCGTTGGCAGAGCTCTGTGGGAACTCCCGGCGGTGCATGTAGGCCGTCTGCGTCACGTAGATGGCCATGACCTCCGTAGACAATTTTCTGAGGCCCCAGTCTTAGGGTTATGGCACCATCCTTGGGGTTACTTCTTTCAACGGAGGGTCGTTTTCCACCAAAAGCCGCCAACTCCCCGGTGAGGTGTTACGCTTTGTTTTCCTAGGGCCGTTTTTTCCATCCTGCGGCTTTTTCCCCCCTAAGGCTGTTTTCTTTCCTTGGGCTCTCCCCGGTAGAGGTGTGTTTTCTCCTGTGGATGGCTACGAAATCCATTTCGCACCACCTAAGAAAGCCTGGAATGATGATTCGCCTGGTAAATACCAACAAATTATGGTTTCCCTTGGTTTCAAAGCGGTACAACAATTCGTCCACCCAGAGTAGGGCTCTTTTTTTGCTAGGGCTGTTTGTTTTCCTAGGGCTGGCAACATCCCCGGCATCACCAGCCAAACTTGGCCTGGGAGGTGTTGTTGGCTCTGATTGGGAGGCAGTTGGGAGTTGCTGGGGGCTTGTTTAAGTTGCGGAGGGTTTAGGCTAAGTTGATTTAGGGCTGACATCCAGGCTGCTGTTGGGTGGGTTGGGGCAAGTTTTGGTGGTTTGGGGCAACGCTCCACAACCAATCCTAAATGAGACCCAAACTCACGTAAACACATCTCAAAAGCAACCCTAAAGACACTGCTTAGCCAGCAGCACACCAAACACCAATCAGCGCCAAGCCAACCCCAAATCCACCCAAAGTCAACCCTAAACCAGCAGCCTGGATGTCAGCCATAAATCAACCCAAAACCCACCACAAAACCCACCCTAATGAAGATCTAAGCCAGCTTAAACACCCCTTAACTTCAACCAGCCCCCAGAACTCCCAACTGCCTTCTAATCAGAGGCTATAGCAACTACCGGGCCAATTCAGGCTGGTGATGCCGGGGATGCGGCAAGCCAACCAACCAACCAACCCACCAACCAACCAGCCAACCAACCAACCAGCCAACCAACCATCCAACCAACCAACCCAGCCCTAGTAAAAAAAACAACAGCCAAGCTTTATTTTTACCACCGGATCCCCAGCTCCCCACCTCAACAAAACCAACAAAGAAACAACAACTAAACCACTCAACAACCCAAAGCCCCGCAAAAAAAAGGCGTCGCAGCTGCGCTGAGCCGTCGGGTTCGCCGCGCAATATTTATCATATGGGTATGGGTCAAAAAATACCACCCCCGGGGGACCGCAGAGTTTAGTCCATGTTTCCATTTACCAGAACAACCCATTTTGGTACATATTTTTGACCCACAGCCACTGGAATCAGTCGTACTTCAAGATCCCTGGGACTATTCCCCAAAATGCAAAAGGAGTTACTTAGGTTTGAGGGATGAATGGGTACCTAATTTATAAGGCAAGCCAAATCGCTTGTTTCCTTTTTTTTTTCTGGTGCCTTGTTTTGTGCTCCTGTTTGTGCTTTTTGTTGGTGCGCCGGGTGCCGGGAGCAGGCCCCAGGTAGAGCAAATCAGCAAATCACCAGGTGCCAAATGCATTTTGCGTGAACTGGCTCCAATTGAGCCGGAGAAGTGCTCGAAGCCATAAAACCCCTTTTCTTGATTCCTGACTTCAATAGGGGCCCTTTTCACTTTCGGGGGAGGCGACCCCCGATCCATCCCCAATCGATTTCGGGAGTCAGGGAACGGCTTGCAGTGACGCGGAAGACAGGGGGCCCTTCTCTCGGAACATGCGCCCCCCTTCGCAAAAAAAAGAGGAAAGGAGGCGAGGAAGGCCAAAAACTTCCTGAGTTGGCCCAAAACGGTGCAAACTTGTTTTGTTTGCCACTTAAATTAATTCTCTTCCATGAGAAAGCTCCAAGCTCCCCCCCCCCCCGCCATTTTCAGGGATCCCATGTTGGTTTCCCCCGGCTTCGTCCACCCAATCGCTGCCTGGCTCCGCGGATTCCGCCAGCTGGCTCCGAACAAATACATACAACTCCCTCCCCGGAGCTGACAACAGTTGGAACATGCACTGCAAGGTGGTATTTCCTGTAAGCTAGGCTGAGCCTGTGCAGGGTGCTTTTTCGCTTGAAAGCAACACCAATGCATGTGACAGTGTTCCGGAGTGCTGCGCAGTCTCGGCATGACATGCGCTCCTTTGCTTTCTTTTTGAACGGCCAGGAGGAACTCCTTGCCAAGAATCATTTTTTTCTGAGAGACATCTCGTGAACACGCAACACGGTTTCGGAATTTCGGTTCAAAAAGCTGGATTCACGACTGGGCTGCCCTCAGATCCCCTGCTAACAGTTTAACTTTTATTGGGTTAAATGGAAATCCCACTTCACACCAAAAAGCTAAAAGGCAAAGGGGATGGCTGGGAGCCACCAAGACAACACAGCCTTCAGTGCCTGGATTTTCAAGCAACAAGTAGCACCGAGACGCGTAGAAGGTCATCACCAGCAGTCCAATGCTCCAAAGGAAAGTGCGGAAGGAGAGGATCAGGCAGCTGACCTTGATGGGTGCTTCTCAAAGGAAATGGTCCATTTTCCTAAAGTGGCAAGGCTTTCCTTTTCGTTTCCCTTTAATGTTGACCACAGATTAAACAAGCCGTTCCATTCTTGGTTGCTGTTGACCTGTCCGCAAAAAGTATCTTGTGGTGGGGCCAGTGGAACAGTGTGGAACATTCCACTGTTTCCAAAAAGTTAAAGTCCAAAGATCCGTTACTAGCTGGCCATAAACAGTATTTTTTGGGGGTGTTCCCTCAGGTGAATCCCCACTTGTGGGGACAAACGTCAACCAGGGTTCTACTTAGACCTGGGCCTCCCTCCGTCCGGTGTGGAGAACCTCCCCTGCTTGAAGTGGAAATGTGATCCGACATCAAGGGCTTCTGTTCTAGGTCCTCCAGTAGAGAGGCTAGACCAAAAATACCCTTTTTTCCGTAGTCTATTTTAGTAGGGAACCCCCCCCCACAAAAAGAAAAGAAAAAAGTAAAAGGGCAAAACCGAACTGGGAGACCGGGCCGAAAGGTTGGTGTTAGGCATTCTGGTTGGTGTTGCTTGACTCAACAGGGAAACTATTGGTTGTTGGTATGTACAGAGGAACCATCATTCCAGGATTTGTTAGGTGGTGCGAAATGGATTTGGTCCATCCACAGACTACACCCCTTTGCGCTGCCGTTTCCGAGCGCGGTGCAATGAGCTGCAAGTCCTCCGCGTAGCGCACGAAACGGATCAGCCGCAGGACCTCTGACGGTGGCATGCACGACTTGACTTCCATTTGCTTAAGCCCCCTGAAAAAAAAACAGTCGTGATAGATTCCCCTGAAAACCAACAAGGGAAACTCTAAACATATTCATTTCAGCAAATGGAAGTTGACAAACGGGCACTAGATTCACAAACCTAGGGTTAAAAACGATTTTCTGCCCCAGACATGTGGCAACCGAACCTGCTTGAAACCTTGGAAATGGGGATCTTCCAGTAAGGCTAGAGTAAGGGTAGCAACTAGTTTTCTGAGTGGAGTGAGTAGGGTGAGTGAGGTGAGGTGGGTGAGGTGGGTGAGGTGAGTGAGGTGAGTGAGGTGAGTGAGGTGAGGTGAGGTGAGGTGAGGTGAGGTGAGGTGAGGTGAGGTGAGGTGAGGTGAGGTGAGGTGAGGTGAGGTGAGGTGAGTGAGATCAGTGAGGTGAGTGAGGTGAGTGAGGTGAGTGAGGTGAGTGAGGTGAGTGAGGTGAGTGTGAGGTGAGGTGAGGGGTGAGGTGAGGTGAGGTGAGGTGAGGTGAGGTGGGGCGAGGCGAGGCGAGGCGAGGCGAGGTGAGGTGGGTGAGGTGGGTGAGGTGAGTGAGGTGAGTGAGGTGAGTGAGGTGAGGTGAGGTGAGGTGTGGTGAGGTGAGGGGAGGTGAGGTGAGGTGAGGTGAGGTGAGGTGAGTGAGATCAGTGAGGTGAGTGAGGTGAGTGAGGTGAGTGAGGTGAGTGAGGTGAGTGAGGTGAGTGAGGTGAGGTGAGTGAGGTGAGTGAGGTGGGTGAGGTGAGTTGGGTGAGGTGAGTGAGGTGAGGTGAGGTGAGGTGAGGTGGGGCGAGGCGAGGCGAAACGAGGTGAGGTGAGGTGAGGTGAGGTGAGGTGAGTGAGTGGAGCAGTGAGTGAGTGAGTGAGTGAGTGAGTGAGTTAGTGAGTGAGTGAGTGAGTGAGTGAGTGAGTGAGTGAGTGAGTGAGTGAGTGAGTGAGTGAGTGAGTGAGTGAGTGAGTGAGTGAGTGAGTGAGTGAGTGAGTGAGTGAGTGAGTGAGTGAGTGAGTGAGTGAGTGAGTGAGTGAGTGAGTGAGTGAGTGAGTGAGTGAGTGAGTGAGTGAGTGAGTGAGTGAGTGAGTGAGTGAGTGAGTGAGTGAGTGAGTGAGTGAGTGAGTGAGTGAGTGAGTGAGTGAGTGAGTGAGTGAGTGAGTGAGTGAGTGAGTGAGTGAGTGAGTGCGTGAGTGAGTGAGTGAGTGAGTGAGTGAGTGAGTGGAGGTGAGGGGTGAGGTGAGGGGTGAGGTGGGGGTGAGGTGAGGGGTGAGGTGAGGGGTGAGGTGAGGGGTGAGGTAAGGGGTGAGGTGTGAGGGTGAGGGGTGAGGTGAGGTGTGAGGTGAGGTGAGGTGAGGTGTGAGGCGAGGTGTGAGGTGAGGTGTGAGGTGAGGGTGAGGTGTGAGGTGAAGTGTGAGGTGAGGTGTGAGGTGAGGTTTGAGGTGAGGTGTGAGGTGAGGTGTGAGGTGAGGTGTGAGGTGTGAGGTGAGGTGTGAGGTGAGGTGTGAGGTGAGGTCTGAGGTGAGGTTTGAGGTGAGGTGTGAGGTGAGGTGTGAGGTGAGGTGTGAGGTGAGGTGTGAGGTGAGGTGTGAGGTGTGAGGTGAGGTGTGAGGTGTGAGGTGAGGTGTGAGGTGAGGTGTGAGGTGTGAGGTGTGAGGTGAGGTGAGGTGAGGTGAGGTGAGGTGAGGTGAGGGGAGTGGAGTGGAGTGGAGTGAGTGAGTAAATGATGAGTGAGTGAGTGAGTGAGTGAGTGAGTGAGTGAGTGAGTGAGTGAGTGAGTGAGTGAGTGAGTGAGTGAGTGAGTGAGTGAGTGAGTGAGTGAGTGAGTGAGTGAGTGAGTGAGTGAGTGAGTGAGTGAGTGAGTGAGTGAGTGAGTGAGTGAGTGAGTGAGTGAGTGAGTGAGTGAGTGAGTGAGTGAGTGAGTGAGTGAGTGAGTGAGTGAGTGAGTGAGTGGTGAGTGAGTGAGTGAGTGAGTGAGTGAGGGAGGGAGGGAGGGAGGGAGGGAGGGAGGGAGGGAGGGAGGAGTGAGTACGGCGGGCGGCGGCGGGCGGCGGCGGGCGGCGGCGGGCGCGGCGGGCGGCGGATAACGCGGCGGGCGCACAGTGGTAAAGGTAAGAACCCCGCACAGGAATGTTGGGAATTAGAGTCCAGTTGCAGGATTAGACTCTAAAACCGCAGTTGATAAATAGGCTGATTAGAGTTTTTGAAAAGATAAAGATAAAGATACTTTGGTACACAGATCTAAATGTAGGTAGATAGATAGATCGACAGATAGATAGGTAGATAGAGACATCGATAACTGCAGCTAGATTGGTAGATAGATGTAGATGGAAAGAAAGAGAAAAAGGATTGATAGAAAGGTAGATAGAGAGATAGAGAAGAGATAGAGATAGATGGGTAGATAGATACATAGTTTGGTATAACGGGATGCAGAGAGATTGATAGATAAAGGGATAGATAGGAAGAAGAGGTAGACAGATAAGAAAAGTAAATAAGTAGACAGATAGGTACAGAAAAGAGAGAGAGAGAGAAAGAGAGAGAGAGATTTGCTGGATGGATAGTAAGATAGATACAGAGGTAGATAGTTCGAGTGGACAAGTAGGTTGGTAGAGAGAGAGAGAGGAATAGATAGGTAGAGAGATTGATCTGTAAATAGAAAGAAGGAAAAAAACAGAAAGCCAAGAGGAAAAAACGAAATATGAAAAAACAAGAAAGAAAGGAAACACAAAGGAAAAATAAAGAAAGAAAGAAAGAAATAAAGAAAGAAAGAAACAAAGAAAGCAAGAAAGAAAGAAATCAAGAAGAGAAAGAAGAGAAATGAATAAAGAAAAAAACAGAAAGAAAGAACGACAGAACGACAGAAAGACAGACAGAAAGAAAGACGCAACACAAAGAGAAAAGACTGAAAGAAAAAAAGCAAAGGACAAACAGAAGGCAAGAAAGCAGAGAAAACAAAGGAAACAATAAAGAAGAACATAACTATAGTCTTTATGTTGTAGAAACTTCCGACAGCCGGCTTCGCAGGATCTATTCTATAATGATATGACATATTAGACACTATAACAACATAATACATTAATCACAAAAACATGCCATAACAACATCATAACAAAGGTGATAGATACAATAACGTAAAACCACAGTAACAGAGTAACATAATAATAAACCAACCTACTAGTATTATAAGCTACAAGTATGATCATTTCCTGTGGCTGTCAAGCCCCCCGCCCCAACAGGGGCTCCACCGCCACTCAGGCCTATTAGGGGCCAACAGGGTTCCTTGTGGGTGCAGGAACGCCAGCAGCAGCAGCAGCAGCAGCAGCTGCAGTGGCCGCAGTAGCAGCAGCAGCAGCAGCAGCAGCAGCAGCAGCAGCAGCAGCAGCAGCAAAACAGCAACAGCAGCAGCAGAACAGCAGCAGCAGCAGCAGCGGCGGCGGCCGCAGCAGCAGCAGCAGAACAGCTGCTGCTGCTGCGGCTGCCGCTGCGGTGCTGCACAAGCTTCTGCTTGAACCAAGTGGTTTCAGCATATTTCCCAGAATTGGGGTTGATGACTCCAGCAAATGCAAAATAGCCATAGCGGGGTCCGACTCTCCGGGTCCAAGCTGTTCCTTTTGAAAGGGTATCGTTTTTCGTGAGCCACCTATCGTTCTCTACGTAATTTGAAAAGCTGCAAATATGCAACAACGTTCATTTAAATCTGCATTGCCCCGTTCTCATAGACTTGATTATGGCCAATACATCAAACCTATACAACTCAAACCTTCCAAAAGTCACATTAAGCCGTGGCATATGACCTGCAACATGTTGATCACAAAGGCAGCAACATTATGTCAGTTTTGGCTGCACACGCTACATGTTTAAGTGTCTGGTCGTGGGCTTGTTTACGCTGTTGCGCAAGGTTTCATGCTGCATCAGCAGGTTCAGTCCAGCCCCGAGCACGTGATCTTACCATGCATGTTGTCCGCAAATTTCAGCCAAACACTCGCAGATTCGCAGCGCAGAACTTGTGAAATGGCAGTGGGCAGGGCGTAGGCTTAGATGACGAAAAAGAAGGACGGGTTGTAGTTGTGACCCTTTTGCAGATGGGTCATTTGACTCTGGAGCAGGCCCAAGTCTTGCCGAAGGTAGTACACCAACTTGAAAAAAGGCATATTAGCAAAAGGAGACAGCGTGAAGCCGCACGCAGGCTGTGGCAGGCGAGTCATGGTGAAAAATTGCATCAACGCAGGGCCTTCTCCAACTGCAACATGAGGCCCGAACATCCAATTGGAAGCTCCTTTCAGCGCCATTCTCCCCAAGTCTCGCGCAACAACATCACGAGTCTTTCCTTTCACACATTCATTTTCAGCGTCTAGTTCTTCTGGTGTAAATGCATGGGCCACACAATCATTGCACCGAATACCTGGCTTGTCCGGAGATGGGATCCCAATGATTTGCTCTCAGGCACCAGGCACAAAATCAGGGACAAACACGATATGAACTGGAACAGCTGCACGGTCAACAGGCAATGAATCTACCAGTGGTTTGAGCACATTGTGCAACCACCATTCTGTAAAATGACTCTCATGCAAAGCGTACATGAAATCCCAACGGCGAGGCTGGTATGTGGACTGGATGTTTCCCAACACACACGTCAGCTGAGTCATCATCAAAACCCATCGCTACCAAACTTGTGAACCAACAAAAAAGCCATGGTGACGAGCTACAAAGGCGGCGGAGGCACCCATTTCTGGCAAGGGGACTGTCCCTTAACCTCGAACTACCGGGGGGTTTTATTGTGACTCACTTGGATGTTATTTTTGTCGCCAAGTTGGTACGCGGTTGGCCATGGGCATAACCCCTCTCAAGGTTCACCCCGCTTCGGGGGACCTCTTAAAGGGGTTGGAAGCTATGCTACCAAGAACTTAGGCCAACAACACCCAAGTGGACACATTCAGGGCGTGAATTTTCTTGAGGCTACCCATGCGTGTACAGGAAAACCAAAGCGACCAACGAAGCCATTTGGAATGGTCCCCTGAAAGCGCACACCCAGGTAATTTTTACTTGGTGGTTTGGATGGGTTTCGGATTTGAACCGGTTCTTGAGGAGGATACATGGGACACCTGTAGAAGAGTAAACCTGTCTGTGATGCCAAGTTTGTTAGATTGGGATTTGTTGGGATCACACAAAGTCCCTACCCAGTCTTCCACAACCCGGTCGCTGAATGCCAGTGAACCAGCCATATCCAACCACAAGACTCTTGTAAGTTTCGGAAGTCTTGTGCAGAAATTCCCTCGTTCCCCTTGCAGGATTTGGCATTGGGTCAAAATGGGTTCCCCACATGGAACTTTGGCAACTGGAACCACGGACTAAGCCCTGCCGTCCCCTGGGAACTTGATTTCGATCCATGTCCATTTAGGGCGACAACAAAGGTGGTGGGGTTGCATTCCATGTTCTTTTCGGAAACGTCGCCGAACCCTAGAAGGGCGGTGGTTGTCTTTTCCAGCCATCAGGAGTCGTCAAGCATCTTAGGGCCCCGGGTTTCGAACGCGGCTTTGCCTTCACAAAACACACAAAGCGGCAACCGCTGTAACCAACTCAAGCGAATGATGGCTGATGCTTCTCGTGCAGGTCACGAACCGACAAAACAAAGGCACTTGGTGAACGGAACCGTTTTGGCTGAGCAACATGGGTTCCCTTTTGAAGAGGCCAAACAGGGTACCATCAAAAAAAGGACAGCACCAAATGGGCTTCCCTTGAGTTTCACTTTCAACCAACCTGAACAATTGGGTACCGAATTGGGCGCGTTGGCAAGTCCTTTTGTGGGGTTGATGGTGGCCTGCTCAAATCAACATGGGGCGTGGCTGAGTCACGTTGTGTCTTGAAACTGGATATATTCGCCTCGACCCCATGGGGGGCCAAGGGCTCAGATCTCTTTTCCAAAGAGAATCTCGGGCCACCTCCCCCCCCACCCCCGCGGGCCTTGAAATTATGTTCCTTTTCTTTTGCCCCGGAAAGAAGGGGGCACATCAAGTATTCCGGTTGACGCTTTCCGAATTTCTTACCGTTCGGGCATGCCCTTCATGCATCCTTCTATGAACCTGAGGGCTTGCGAATGACATATTGACGAAGTTTCAAGGTCTAACAAACTGCGATCAAATTTGCCTGCAGCTTCTTGGGGCATGGCTTTCCTGTTTGTGTGCTTCTTTTTCTTCTGCCTTTTTCGCCGTTGACCACGTTGCCTCTTTTTTTGCCAGCCGTGCTCTTTTGGGGCATGACTCTGCGTTTTTTACGCACCAGCCAAACAGCCACGCCGGCCTTGATGCCACGCAGGACGCGGATTGTCCTCGATCGCATGCTGCAAGCCCCCTTTGGCACTTGAGGGGCGTGTTTTTCCCCACCCAGTGGTCTAGCGGCGGTGTCCAACCCTGGTAGAAAAAAAACAGGCTGGAGATGGACCACTCACAACCCTGGTTAAAAAAAACAAAGATGCTGGAGATGGACCATCATTTCCTTTTGAGCCTCAAAGGGAAAAGGGTACCAAACAAGGAAGGGCACAGCTTCTGTTTGATTCTGCCGAATAGGATGGGTAGAGATCAACTCTGAATTGCTGGCAAACATGATTCAGCTCTTGAGGTTTAGCTGGCCCCAGCTCACACGCCCTTGCCTCTTTCATAATGATAAGTATGATTGCTCCCCGGCCACTAGCAAGCTATCCCCTTTGCGACAAGCATTTGAGTGGTGGCCGTTCAAACCACTGTTCTGCTAATCGGGGAGACAACTTGACTGAACGCTGCAAACAACTCAAAGGCAAATTTCCACAAGGGGGACCCCTCCCACCTGTCCAAACCACTGAACGGCAAATCCAAAAAGTTTTGGACCCCTCGGCCTCCCCAGCTTCCGATTTTGTGGTGCCCATGGCAGGTTTTTTTTGGGCCAGTCCTCACCACGCTGCCGCTGGCAATCTCCAGCTCGTTGCTTGCCGTGGCCTACCGGGGAGCTGATTTTTCAGGTTGCCACCTTCTTCCACCGAGTTCCCCTTTTTGGTTAGCAATTAAACGGAAACCACAAGGACACATACCGTTCTAGGGAGAAACACAGACCTCATTCCTCAGGCCCGGGCCCCATGACGATCAAGATTGAACGCTAATACCAATCATTCTAGGGATGCCTTCCCCATTCTTTCCAGGGATCCTTCTTTCTAGAAAACCTCCGGATCCTTTGCCTCCAAGTTGGAGATGGTCATGGGTCAAAGTCCAAATCGTACCCCCAGTGAACCTCCCAATCCCCACTAAAATAGGTTCTAAAATGGGTGGTGCACCTACCCCAAAACGGGATCCCATTGGTTTTGACCTCAAAATAGAATATGCGTCATGATGACAACCTGGTACACAAATGGTGAACAAATGTACAGAGTTACCAAGGCGGCCGCACCTATTTATGGTTGGGAGTGTCCCTCCCTAACCTTCGCTTACCCGGGTTTTGATAACGGAAAGGTGATTCACTGGCCACTTTGAAGTTTTGTAAAGAGAGTGGCCCGCAAACCAGGCTCAAGGTGTACCTCAAAGAGGAGTCAACCACTCGTTTACGGGCCCCATGTATTTGTTTCCAACAATTGTCCGACCAAGTCGAGGTCTTTGGGCCAACTCGCACCCAAACCAATCTGGGAAAGCCCAAACTACAAACCCGACCTTAAGTAAACAAGCCTCACTTGTCCAACCAGAGAGTGATTCAGCCTCACCTTCCGTGACGGAGCACGCGAACCACATCCCCACATCCCGTCGATGCGCAAAACCCCGGACATCTGATCCAAGGCGCCCAAGCGATGATGTTCGCAATCTCCTGAGCGACGTGGGACGTCTCCACCCGCGCCATGGGCTTCAAATGTTTCCTTTTGGCCCGTTTAATCCCCCCCAAAGAAGACATGCGACATGGCAACCAGCTGCTAGGATTTTTGGCTCATGGCACTGACCAAGCAAAAACGGCAACCCTCAGCAGAAACAGAGCTTACATGGCCTGTTTGGTAGATGTGGTTCCCCCTGAATTAGCTCCATGGGCTCTTTCACGTGTGTTTGATGTCTACAAGACTTCCACTGCGCCATGAAGTCTCACGTAAACAGGCCAGAGACTTGGAGAAACTTGCGGACACCATGCCTCATAGCTAATGCAGTTCTTGCAAACCGGATGTTCAATCGAGTTCCAAGTTTGACTAGCCTATCTTCTGCGTGGCCACTCTGACACCATCTCTTTGTGCAGCAAGTGTCTTGAATCCGAGCACACTTCTCCTCTGCATACCGCTGCATGCTGGGTATGATGTATAAGCTCGACTGAGCCCAGTCTTACACCAACAACTGAACCTAAGCGCCAACATCCTGCTTGAGCTCTTTCATGAAGCATGGGCGAGCTGGCTTCAGTCGGACATGTCTGTTCCCCCTGGCTGTTCAGTGAGCGCCCTTTGGGCAACCCTCTCCTCGAAGATGTGGAAAAGCGTCACCACAAAGTCCATGATATTCCTGCGAGGCTACTTTCTGCCTCCTGGGCCCACAAAAACATCCTTTAGCTGTTTGCTGAGTGAGAGAACACACACACACACATTTTCCCCACAAAAGGTCACAGTAACTTCCCTTTGCTTAGCTCCCCCCTGGCGAAAAAAGAAGAAGGAATAACAACCATATGTCCAATGATAGATTCCCTTGAAAAACAACAACAACATGGGGAAATCAACAACCAACAAAAGGAAATACAAAGCATCTCCTTTCAGCCGAAAACGGAAGCTTCATTCGCCGAGCTTCCAGGCACAGCCGTAGGTGGTGAAAAACCGCACCCGGTAGACGTAGAGCCGCGCCGCAACCTCCCGCCCCGACGTGAAAAAACAGGGGCGACGGGCGTTCCGTAGATGGGCGTCTCCCAACAAATCGGGGGAACTCTTTGTGGAACCAAAGGCACACCACCCATATTTTCTTCTTAGTGGGGAACCATGGTCCAAACCCAAACGTCTAATGTCCAACTCAGGAAGCGAGTAAACTTTTTTGGCGGCTCAACTAGGTCCTCCAGTCGAGAAGCTGATTTGGGGATGTCTTTTGAGGGACATGACCAACATGTCTGGGTTTTTCCTGAGTCAAGCACCCCTGTTGAATGGCTTTCAAGGCAAACCAAACGGTCACCAACCGCGCATGGAGGATCCTCATCTTGGGACATACCATACCCTTTGTTTTTTCATCATATAAAACCCTGAATGCAGTGTTGTCCTTGTGCGAACAATGACTGCAATGTCTGGAAATCTATGGAAAGTGAGAAGAACCATGTGGGGGTTGATCAACAGGTCCTTTACATGGGATGACCATTGATGAAAACCACAACAAAAAACACATGCTGTGTCTTCCATGGGACAAGTTCGCCATGGCCATTTGGAGTGATTCCGATCAACCCCCAAGCTTAGAAGCCTCCAGCGCGAAGAAGATGCAAAAGAAGATGTTCCTAGGTGCAACGAGGAAAACCGTCCCAGACCTTGAAGTTGATAGCCGTCAAAAGACCTAGCGGGGAATACACTTGAAAAAGGGGGTTCCTCCAAGCGGTTTCCTGCAAAGTCTGTTGGGTGATAGAACTTGTTTCTTGGAAGCCCGGGAAAAAAACAGCTGTTGCCCTCACAGGTGATTTCAATGGATCACGTGCACCCAACAAACAACACACCGAGCATGTCGCTGGGCCGACTCTACGGAACAAAGCAATGGATCTGGGCCGACTGGTCTGGTAGGGGACTGGTGTATCATGGATACCAAGTCCACCGGGGTGACTTCTCAATCCGCATGGTACGTCCATGCGTGGTGAACATGCGAACTGTGACACTTTCTGTTCTGAATCCTTAGCAAACGGGATACGCCAAGATGCAGAGCATCGACCACGGGTCCAGGTTGCATCTGGCCCGTGGTCGACATGGTGTTGATCACGTAGCCTTGCCAGGTGGCGTTGCAAAAAAAGTCTTGCTAATCGCTAGTGAAAAATATTGCTTGCTCACGTTGACCACATATTAATCAACCACAGAACATTGATAGGGCAGCGTCCCCGAGTTTGGTGTGGGGAATCATCACTTTTGGAGGGCCCCCCACCCCCTATTAAGTTGAACTGGGGTTTGATTCATATGGGGTCAACACTCTCGGGTTTTGGTCATCTGTTTCCAGTGCTCCAGCGCTTTGCGGTTTGTGCCTCCAAACATCTTCATGAGCTTCTCGAGTTCTTTTTCGCGCGCTGCTTGCCGCTTGCTGTGCTTCGCTTTGATCGTCGCCGCCTGGTTTCGCCAGGCTTCACATTCGTTATCGTATTTCTGTTGTTCCGTTGGCCCCATTGAAGCGCAACCGCGCGGAAGTGCCAGGACAAACCAGGACCTGCCTTGCTTGCTTCCGATTGAACCAATGATTTAGAGCGTGGTATACAACTTGGATGCTTGGTTGGAATTAGGACCCCATCAAAAAACTACATTTTTTTTGGCCTGGTTAGTGGAACACAAGGGGACCCCAAAAAACTGAACATGAAAAAAAGGAGCGAATTCTGAGGAAGGATGGTTGCATTGTCTTGAGCTCGGGGGTTGCCGGCATGCAGGGGCCCCGGTCAGCCAGACAAAACCGGAGGTGTTTCGAGGGTGGTGTCCCATTTACCCTCAGAACCAGGGGGTCAAATCTCACCAATCCAAGCCACCTGAGGGATCAAACCAAACAAATCCTCATGGGCTTTGCCCACGTCCTCTCCTCTTTGTCCTGCAATAGGATCTTGGCCAATCAAATTCTTTTCCTGATTCTACGGGTGCTCGAATGGGCATTTCCCAAATTACAGTCCCTTTTGGTTTCCCATGCAAAAACACCACCTCGCATTCGGCTTGGAGACAAAGAACCGCGGCAAAGCTAGGGGCACCATGCGACACAGCTCTGTCTCGGTGCCAGGAAATCACACGGCGGTTCTTTTTGGCAAGCAGCCGGTGAGGAGAGAGTGGAGCATGACCATGCTCATCACCAAACATTGGAACCTCAGCTTCGGCGATAACAAGAAGAAGAACCTGGACACCGACCTTTGGCAGGTAGGAGAACTAATGAAACCGAGATTTTCACGACACTCGACTGCTTGTCACACAATGATGAACCTTGCGCTAGTACGGGCATAGATCTCCCTGCCAAATTGGGGTCGGTAGGCCTTGCTAGGCCTAGCCAAAGCCTACCGCCCCCACCCTTCTATAGGCCTAGCCTACCGACCCCCTTGAGGCCCTCTTTGTGTTAGCTAAGGCCTACCGACCCAGCCAAGGCCCGAACCCCAGTGCCTACGCCTAGCCAAGGCCTACCCATTCCATAGGCGTACGGAAGGGGGCCTTGGCCTACGGAAGGGGGGTCGGTTACGGAAGGAGGGTGGCAGGCCTTGGCTAGGCCTACAGAGGGGGTTGGCTAGCCCTGCCCAGGCCTATGCGTGCCCTAGCTGTAGACCTCGCCTGGGCCTACACCTGTTGGAAGCAAGGAACTATGTGTGCTAGTACGTGACCTGTCGAGTCATTTTGTGAGCCTTATTACATTTGAGAACCCCACCTGCAAGCACCTAAGGTCCATCTGGAAGGACTTGGGGAACCAATCCATCCGCGTTTTGCCTCCGCAAAGGGAGCCTTCAGGAGGAAAGGCCAAAAAGGGGGGGGGAGGGGATTGCGAAGACACGTCTACCTCAGCTTCTGCGCCCCAAACATGTTTTTGGTTCGACTAGGGTCCAGAATATGTCTGAATATGGGATCTTCAATCATGTGCTTTCCCTTTAGCTTCCACCCAAAAGCGCCCCAAAACAGTGCCCTCAAACACAAACACAGCTTTATCTTCCATTTGCTTGAGCCCCCTGGAAAAAAAACATATTTTCAGTAGTGAAATTGATTCCCGATGATTCCCTTTAACAGAAAACAACACATCTTCTTAAGCAAACGGAAGTTACTTGGCCAGGCGTGTTTCTGCCCCGCAGCCAGCTGCTCTGAAGCCACACCCGCACCCGAAGCTGCAGCGGAGACATGCCCACCACCGAGAAGTCCTAAGCGAAGCTTCCGGTCTTTGCTTTTGCACCTGGAACGAAGAAACATATGGCACCCCCTTTTTGGGTGCTTCCCTCAAAAACGGTTGGTTTGCTTGGATCTCCTCACACATTTTAGGGGGTTAATACGGCCATCCAAATCGTACCCCCAGTGAACCTCCCAATCCCAATCCCAACCAAAATAGGAGCACAAATGGGTGGCGAATTCACCTATCCCGAAACGGGATCCCATTGGTATTGAGCCATTGCCTGATGGGTGTTCCTCAAAAAAAGGGCGCCCCTTTCTGGAGGCCCCAGTTTACCACACACACACACACACAGTCCGCCCTGCCGCATGTCGTCCGTCCTTCCGCCTTCTTTTGCCGCCACACCCGGAAATTCGGAAATAAAAAAACGGGTGGTGGTTTTTAGGCTTGTGTCCCTGGAACTGCAACAACGGGGGACTCTCAACAAAACACCCACACCCACACACGCCCACATTGGGCTTACGCCCAAAAATCCAGAACCCCCCACTTCCAGGTGCCTTTCCAGGAACGGCGGATTCTTTGAGCTCCTTGCTTTGGGGTTGATTAAAAAAACTCAAGGCGGAACCGCAAGAGCCATCGTTTGCGGAGGAAAGAGTCTATTTGGAGTTGAAGAGGAATACATAAGTCTCTCTCTCTCTCTCTCCCTCTTTCTGTGCTGTTGAATGCTGTTGATAAAACAACAAAGTGTCTGGAGATGCAAGAAGGAAGAAATTGTTGCCAGGAAGCAACATGAGCTCTTGTGTCCAATATGCCGTCAGCCGCTTTTCTGGCAGCCAACCAAACAAGTAGCTGCTGCGTCATACGTTTTTGTTTCGAATGCATGCTTCTGTTTCTATTGGGCCCCAACGCGTTCCCCACTTGCCCGGACAGGGCACAGCGCTGTTCTGCGGCATGAGCCCAAAGATCCGCTCCGTGGCTCCTGGCGGATTTGTCACAAGGGCCATTTCCCCCTGAGTTCGTCACCCAGAACAGAAAGGATGGTTTGGGCGGCTCGACTGGCCGGGGCCTAGCCCAGAACCTGCGGCTGGTGCTTCACTCTTGAACTCAAGGCGCCTGCGGATGCCCGCGTGCGTTGAATGTACGTTGCCGTCAGGCTCTCTGGTTTCGCGGGCAGCGCCGATCTTGATTCTCCTACCGCAAAGACTGACTGAGCTGCCAGGCGCCGGTCTCCAAGATCGTCGACAGTCACGGGGCTCGGCTGCGCCACATTCCACAGGTGCGCAATCCGGTCGCCTCCGCTTCCGCAACTCACGCCTTGGCCCCAAACCTGCCAGCAGGCCTTGGCACGCACGCTGTGCGTGCTCCCCGACTCCGATTCCAGCGAAGAGACTGTCTCTGCCCGCAACACGTTTGGTCGAGCAGGCCCGCTCCAAACTTGCCCTCTCGTTCGGACGGCCCCGCAAGAAACGCCCCGCGCCCCGCTTGCTTGGGACCGAGGTCCCGCCTTCTTGCCATTCAATGTCAGAGTTCCGCTCGGCTCGCGTGTGTCACCGACAACATGTCGGTCTGAAAGTCAAAGACACCCTTGTAGAACCGGACGCCCTGCGTTGTGACTCTGCTGAGCCTGCGCCGGGAACTTGCTGGTGTCCATGATGCCCTTGGCGGTCGCGTTGCTGTCGTCCCTGAAGGTCTGAGCATCTTGCCAGTATCTCCTTTGCGTTTGCCGCTCTCGTCTGCGAAGACACCCTCAGAATCCCATTTTCATTCCGAGCCACGTGGAGGGGTTGCCGTTTGAACGCAGTCTGGCCCACGGCGTCCTTCGCCTATCCGCCTTCCTCACTGAAGACTGCCGCCTTGATCGGCTTCTTCAAACGCTCACGCACACCGGACACTTCGATCTTCCGACCTGCTCCTGAGCATCCTCTTCGTCTTCGACACCGACGCGTGGTTGGTGCGCAACCTTCTGAGGCTCACCCTTGCCTCGCACGTCAACCAGTCTTGCTTCCGGTTCACCTCTCAAATCGGGCCTGCTGCTCGTCCCATGGTCCGTATCTTCTTGGGGTGCCTGGCCTTGCTCACCACGGTCATCGACCAACTCGCAGCATGCCTCATGGACGCTCGCAAGACCTGAGCCCGATTCCAACCCTAAACCAACCCTAAAACCGCAAACCAACCACCAACCACAGCACAGGACCCACGGAAAAAGGGGGGCTACTTATGCGACCTGTGCGACCTGATAGGGGAGAGGGCGGCCAATCAAGGTTTTTTTCATCGCGCCGGCCATGGAGAGAAAACGTTCGCACCTCTGGAACATAGGTGTCCTTTGAGGTAAGAAATAGATGGGTTTCCCTGGTAGATGAGGCTCAAAACCACGAGGTAAACATCTATTTTTCGACCAAAAATATCAAGAAGGACACCTATTCTGGAACCTCTGGAACCTCTGGAAGATCTGGGGACAGACCGGACTGCCAAGATGGGCTGAGAGAAACAACCAGCCGTTCTCACGGGAATCAAAAGCACCAGACCGAGTCCGGAGGTAGATTCAGCTTCACAATTTGTAATGAATGTAATGATGACAAACCATGACAGTCATAGTAATAATGGTAAATGTAAAAGCGTACGGACTATATTGACATGAAACTCAACAAGTTCGAATGAAACATAGGTATGCCTGACAAAGCAAACTAAGACTGTACGGAAAAGGAAACTTCCCGCCAAACAAATGGCTTTGACCGTCTTGGCCTGATCGGTTTGGCAAGCATCGGAAGAGTCGGAACCTGCTGATCCGGACCGAGTGTCTGTGTGCGTGTCATACCCTCCCGTCCACTAGCATGGAACCTGACTGAGGAATCGGTTCTGGAAGACGACTTTCCTTTAAAAGGGACCCTCTGGTGGGTTCCTTCTTCGAAGGGCATGGAAAGATCTGGGAAGTACTTAGGGGGAGTCCGTCCGTCCGGAAAAGTTGGACACTTCCCATTTTGTGATAAACCTCGCGTCTCAGATTGACGATTGACGGGGGCCATCCGTGAGCCCACCGGACACGCAAACGAGAGTTCCCGGGCCTTTGAAGTCTTTGGTGCTCAGACTGGGGTGCAGGCCGCCCGATCCTTGGATCCAAACTTTCACAAGATGATGCCCCAATCTGTGCCCGTCACAGGTACTAGCAGGGGGTACTAGTAGTGGCTTAGTAGTGCCTCCTTGCGGACTTGGACAAGACAAGGCTCTTGTGCTCGGCCCGGGTTGTTCTGTGCGTATGATACTTGCGAAGCGTATGTAGTACGTGTATATATACATATATAATTACGCGTATGCGTACATTGTTTATACTTACACACAAGCGTATACCAAAACACGGCATTTGTACAGTCTGTACATTGTGCGAACGAGCCCCAAAAGCTCTGGGTGTGGTCCAAATCGCTCGAGGGACCCCCCCTCCCAAAGCTTGGTGCCCTTTCGGCTTCACCGAAATCATCCTAAGAGCCATGCCAACTGCCTAATTTTAGACCCGGACACAGGGTTTTTGGTTCCCCATCGTCTTCCTTTGGCTCTCAACTTGAAACCAACCCCAAGGGTAGCCTCAAAGAAGACCCCCCCCCCCGGCCCGGCCCGGCCCGGCCCCATTGAGACAAAGCCATCTGCGACTGCTTTCAAAGGCGACACTGAAGTGGTGAACCTGTAAGGATTCATGGCGCTATTGTGCTTCCAAGGCTCGCTCGCCTTGATCGGACTCTGCCTGGCCTCAATCAATTCTGTCGCAGCGCACGCTCGCTCAAACCTACAGCCTGATCTGTGACTAGAGAGGCATGAAGCCTCATCAGGTCCCTGTTAGCGCAACCTCTTCCAACCTTGGTTGATGTTGGAAGGGGAGCAACAACTCAAATCTTAGCATGGTTGGATTTCAACCACTAAACCACAAGAAGCAAACATGGTCAAAACGTGTCCCAACAACAACCATGCAACGGCAGCTCGTGACTCCCAATTGTCAGCCATGAGAAAACCTCAAGCCCGCAGACTCAGCCGTCTGCCCACCGGCTCGCGGCTGACGGGCACAACGCGATTGCTTGCGCCTGCGCCAAAGAAAACTGCGAGTTGTTCAGGCAAGGGCCAATTTCTCGCAAGCAAAGGCTGCAACAGGGCTGAAGCTTTGGCTCCCCCTAGCCCAAGACCTCATTATTTGGGTGGGGGTGGGGGCTGATGAGCCTCATATTTAGGGTCTTGGGCTCCTAGGCTCCTAAGAAAGAGACTCCACCCCGTTTCTGATGGCTTTGGCACAGCGTCAAGCCGAGTGACCCGGTGACTCGGTGCCTCGCAGGTTCTCAGTGATGAGCCGCGAAACGGGTTCTCACATGCACTGCCAGGATCTTGGTGGTACTGTGGATGGGATCCGAAACCATGGGAAACCATAACGTTTGTTGCTATTTACAGGGGAAGCATCATCCCTAGGTTTCTTAGGTGGTGCAGGATTTCGTCCATCCATAGTAGGTGGGTTGTCTTTCAGCACAATTTCGGTAGGACTAGGAATTTCTCTCTTTTCTCTCTGTTCTCTCTGTGCTCTCTGTTCTCTCTGCTCTCTCTTTTCTCTCTTTTATCTCTTGTCTCTCTTGTTTCTCTCGCTCTCTCGCTGCTTGCTTGTTTGCTTGGCTGCAAACCCCGTAAGAATCTTCTGCTTCAGGGCTTTCGTTCCCCGTTGGATTCGTTGGCTCACAACCTCCTTTTCTGTCGGAACCTTCGCCCGCTCGCCTGGGGGGACGAGGCCGCGCCCCTCAAGCCGACCTCGAGCTGCCCAGTGAAGTGGATTCTGATTGGGGGCGGTATGACTTGCTGCTTCGATAGGTAGGGAATGAGACATGGAATGACCCTTGTAAACCATCCAACGGGTGGTTTCCTATAAGGGAATCCCTGGGTTCACGGAAAAACATGGGTCGAGGGTATGAGCACCAGCGAGATGATTAGAATGGGGTGGGGAATATGGTCAAACCCAGTTACGTTGGATTTGAATTGGGAACTGGAAGTGGTGGACCTGACTTAGGACTTAGGTGGGATTCATTCATGTCCACCAAACATTTTGGAGGTGGTTCCTTACTTTTCAATTCATAGCAGGTGGTTCCCTAATTGAATTCATAGCCACGTTGCGAAGATGGGAGAATGAGGTCTGCAAGTATTGAGCCCCTGAAGAATTTATTTCCTTCACACCATGACCTCACTGATCTTCCACCTCGGACCGGCTCAAGCAAGCTCTCAGCCGATCCCAAATCCACAAGAAAAAAAATACACTCAGTCCCAGCCCGGTTCAGCCAAACAATTTTGTTTTTGCCGACCCTACCTACACCATCCCTTAATCAACACAACTCAAGCCGGGTTAGACTGAACTCCATGTGCACTCATCCTGCCTCTCCCATTTACTGGCGTACCACTTTCCAGGGCCAGCCTCTCCATTTGGCGGACTCATTTTAGCCTGCTTGAAAAACCAGGCAGAACATGTGTTTGGGCCGGATAAAGAAGAGGGGTTCATATGGAACCCTTGGAACCGAAGAACCAAAAGCTAATCGCCTGGCTTCCCCCGAAGGTATACACCCCCACCTGATTTAGAGCTGAATCGCAAGATGGGTAATGATTCCTGGCCCACCCTCATGGCTTCTGCCGCAATGGGCTCATCGCTTTTGGGGGTGTGTCTGTTTATCTTGGTGACCCATACAAAATGTGGGTTTTCATCTTCGGCCTCCCTCTACAAACATCCAACATGGCAGGTGTTCAACCTTGGCTTCCCTTGGAAATCCCCTAAGAAAGACGCGCAGCCATCGAAAGATGCCTCTGGGCCATGTCGCTCTGAGCCCCTGGCGGGGCATCTCCTCTCCCTCCAGCTCCAGCTCGTGCAGTGCCCTTCAGGGTCTGCTGGCTTGGCTTGGAGCCCCGCGGTTTCTGGGCTGCCCGTTTTCGCATCTCCCGCTGAAAGTGGCCACCTAACTTTGAGTGGGTGAAAAATACGGAAACCCAACCACGAAACCGAAAACGGCGAAAAGCTAAGGACCCGGATGGCCTTCGGGAGCCACCAAGTTTGGATTTGAGTTCGAACCGGGTTTCTGCTTGTGGAAACCATGAAAAGCCACCCCCGAACCTTAACCGACAGGGGGTCCCTTTGCAAGAAACAATGTCTTCCAGGACCTCCGATTTGTTGTGCAGTTCCCCCCCTGGAACGCCAAGGAAGCTCGGCCGGTCCTCAGGGAAAACCCGGGGCGTTCAGCCTGCGGGATATTTGTGGCGCGGGAGGAATCCCAAAGACCGCCAAAGCAGCCTCGAGGTGGTGCAAAGTGCACCCGTCAGCGCGCGGGTGAGGCTTCGCGCAGGCTTGCGCTTCGGCTCAACGGACCTAAGGTGTGGCTCCATCTGCAGAGAAAGGTGGAGCTGAGCCGCTGGGTGATGTTTTTTTTTCTTTTTCTCCCCCCCGGTTATCTTTCCTTTTTTCACGGGGGTCCCTGGACATGTCCGCCTCAAAGGCCACTATTGGAGGAAACCCGGTTTAGGGGTGCCATGACTTCGGTTGGGGGGACGGGCACCATTTTGATTCATCTCAAGCCCGCGCAGAATCGGGATGGGATCTGCCCGAAACGAGCGGGACCCCCAAACCAGGTGGTCGTTCTTGTCCGAAAACTGCGAGTAGACATGCCCTTGACTAGCCAAGCTTCAAGAATTTTAACATCTGATGAATTTTCATTTGCTTCAGCCCCCTGGAAACAATATATTTCCAGTAGTGAAATCGATTCCCTTTAAAACCAACGAGGGAAAATAAAGAATATTGCTTTCAGCAAATGGAAGTGAAGGAATTGGGCCCTGTTCCGTTGTTTTCCCAGTTTGACTTTTCCCAGCAGAGAGCTGGCCTCGCAGAATGGCAATTTATGGTAATTTTACTCAGTTGATGGCAAGAGCTTGACATGAACACCCATCTGACTTCAAATCTCAGCCTGTTGAAACCATCAGCTGACCGTGCTCCCGGGTTCAAATGCTTGGGCCCAACTCTGACCTCCGCACCGGACAAGCCCAGCTGATCCGTTTTACGAAAGCACCACCTGTAGCCTCCACGAAGAACACATGGCATCCGGTGTTCTTGGGGGAGCTATACTCACATATGCCAGAGGTCCAAATAGAGTCGCATGCTCTTGCCCAAGTTGTCGTTGTTTATTCTGTGAGCACTTTGAGTGCGGGTGCCCGCGCCATTTGATTGGGGCTGGGAATTTGGAGTGCGGAATGCCGATGATCATGCGCCCACAGGCTTTGCTCAAAAAGCCCATGTATGCGCATAAGTGACACACACCAGTCCTTACATTATACACCTGAACAGTGCCTTGTAAATGGTCGTCTCCCTTTATTTTGGTGGAAAAAGCCATGTTTCAATTGGGCAAGATATATCTTTGTATGTGGCTCCCCTGAGCCCTGATTTCCCGGAGTGCACTTGGGCTAAACGGCGAGAAGGCAAAGCGGCTCTGCCAAACATCAAGCTTCCGACATTTGCACAAGGACAATCCAATCAACAAGACCTGTCTGGTCGCACGTTACAAACATCTTTTACATATTTTCCATCAAAACTTGTGTGGCTTCTCAAAGGGAGAAGTTTCATACGCGGGGCAGGGACATCGCTTCATGGCTGAGTCACGCATCATCTGCCCAAGCGGTGCGCGCCATGCGAGGCGAAGGCGAAGGCGCCAGGCGCCCGCCAGGGGCTTGGAGTGAGCTGTGGCGCGGTGATGAGTCCTCGCGGAGAAAACTCGGCTTTCGCCAAAAATCACCTGAGTCGCTTGCTGAAAACCGATCGGTACTAAAATGGCCGTAATCCCAGAACCATGCTTCAAGAATTAAGAAGGCGGAATTCCGCAACTATGGCTGGGATTGTCCCTTACTAACCTTCATCTAGCCAGGTTTTGATTGTGGCTCACCTCAGCTTTGGCCCGGGCAACATCGCTAAGCATAGGTTCTGGGGACAACTCCAGTGCCTTCCTGACCTGGTTGCAAAGGACACTCCCCATATCTCCCCTTCAAACATCACCCCAAAAGGAAACTCGCTTTAAATCTTGCCAAAACTCGGTTGCTTTCTGCTCCCCTGCTAAAAGTTCAAACTGTTCAGTGGTTTAATGGGAAAACCCATTCGGCAAACAGCTCTAAAGTCCTAACATCCAAGCAGCATGTACCAAAGAAAACACAGCCGTATCCACTAGGGCTGAATGTATAACACCCACAGAGCAGCATAATGTTGACCCAGGAAAAATAAACCAGTCCCATTATTAGAGGGGTGGTCCCTCCAAAAGTGATGAATCCCCAGTAAACGGGTATCCTTCCATTTGCTTTTGCGCCCCCTGGAAAAATGATTTAAAATCAGCAAGGGAACATAAAACATGTTCTTAATTAAGCAAATGGATGTATCTGCTAGGGCTGAATGTATGAAGCCCACAGAGCAGTATTATGTTGACCCAGGATTAATAAACCCGTCCCACTATTAGTAGGGGGTGTTCCCTCGAAAAGTGATGAATCCCCACTAAAAGGGGACACCCCCTATTAATCAACCAGGGGTTTATTGATCCGGGGTTAACAGTATCCGACAAGAACAGATCAGGAGTTGCCTTTTCCACTGAAATGAACAGCCTAAAGGGTTTCTACACCAGGGGGGCTGCTTGTTTACCCCACGAACAGTGGACAAGGCAAGCCATGAGAAGAAGCACGGGCACGCCAGCTTCCATGAGCCCTACGACGAATAGCCTGCTGCAAGTGGGCTCTGGCAGAGCGGTTGTGGTGTCACCAAGTCTTTCCTAGGCCATTTGCCGGCTGCAAAAGGTCAAAGGTCCTGCACAGATCTTTTCCGGAAGACTCGTGCTTCGGTTCGCGAGCATGTGACCCTAAGGTTGGAGCTGCCTCCTAGGAGGCATTGATGCTGTGCTAGGTCCTCCAGTAGAGAGGTTGGAATAAGGGCACCAACTTTTTTTCTGTGGTCTATTTTAGTAGGGGAACCCTCCCCCCCAAAAAAAAGGTAAAGGGGCACTACTGGGGGGAACTAGCTATGAGTACCAATGCACGGAATATCTTTTTGATCCAATGGACAGGCAAAGGGCAAGTGGAAACACTCGGAGGGCAATCCACTTCTCTTGGCAGATTCAACCAGAGTCTGTCAACTGCAG